CACAGATGTGGTCAGGTTGCGGAGAGAATTGGTCCAGCGGCATCTATCGGACTCCACCATTGCAAAACGCTAACCGGAAGAGCCGTATCCCTACTAAAACACATTTTCGTGACATTGGCCTATTGACACTGCTTGATATGTCATTTCAACTGTCCATATGCATAAAATAAACCACGTAGGAGTCCATCCCAGTCAAGGGTGTTGTTTGGCTTCAGATGCCTTTGGAAAACAAGAGAAATCCAACTTTTTACACTAAATCCAGGCAGTGTTGAGTCTCCTAATCATAAGAAGAATGTGAGAATATTTATTTTTGCCTGTGGAGTCCTTATTCTCCAACTGAGGCGTTGTGTGGCATCAGCGCCTCACATGCAATCCCAGAATTGATGTTCACCGAAGGCGAGAGACCAGTGAGGTGATTTGTTAGATTGAACAAGGGTTTCTGGGGTGTGTATTGATTGTGTAACCTTCAGTCATGGAGCTGTGCTTTCTCAAGCCCTGACTGATGAAGCTGCTTCTCTGTAATACACTTTAACTTGAGGACAATGTGGCCTGAACTGATCTGCCAAAACCATAAAGGCTTGTTAACTCTTTCCCCGCCAAGAAGAGTTTCACGGCCCCCAGAATATATTGTTTTCTGAACATGCAATATATCAACAACAACAACAACAAAAGAAAGGAAAAAAGAACAGAGCCTCTGGTTTTAGACAAAAACAACCTGTTTTATTCTAGCTAACAACTGAATATGGTTAAGTTTCATAAAAAACAACAACATTTTGTTCAAAAACCTGAGAAAATTGCTTTTTTTCTCTCTAAGACCACATCTGGATCAGATTCAGAACCATGATCCTGACATATATGGAGTAGATCGATCCATCAACACCCCCAAAGCTTCACAGTCGCTCGTCCTGGGTCGACTTTTTATTCTGTAACATCAGGCAGTTTTGATTTATATGCGGTTTAATGTTATTTTTCATATGCATCTGCTGACATATGCATATCCTCTTTCAGACGATGTGTAATAGTGTATAACACAGAAAGCCAGAATATGCACTCGCCCAAAGGATTATTAGGAACACCTGTTCAATTTCTCATTAATGCAATTATCTAATCAACCAATCACATGGCATCTGGTCCAGACAATCTCCTGAACTCCAAACTGAATGCCAGAATGGGAAGGAAAGACGATTTAAGCAATTTTGAGCGTGGCATGGTTGTTGGTGTCTGAGTATTTCACAATCTGCTCAGTTACTGGGATTTTCACGCACAACCATTTCTAGGGTTTACAAAGAGCAATTTGCAGGAGCTCACCAAAATTGAAAAGTTGAAGACTGGAGAAATGTCGCCTGGTCTGATGAGTCTCGATTTCTGTTGAGACATTCAGAATTTGGCGTAAACAGAATGAGAACATGGATCCATCATGCCTTGTTCCCACTGTGCAGGCTGGTGGTGGTGGTGTAATGGTGTGGAGGATGTTTTCTTGGCACACTTTAGGCCCCTTAGTGCCAATTGAGCATCGTTTAAATGCCACAGCCTACCTGAGCATTGTTTCTGACCATGTCCATCCCTTTATGGCCACCATGTCCCCATCCTCTGATGGCTACTTCCAGCAGGATAATGCACCATGTCACAAAGCTCGAATCATTTCAAATTGGTTTCTTGAACATGACAATGAGTTGACTGTACTAAAATGGCCGCCACAGTCACCAGATCTCCACCCAATAGAGCATCTTTGGGATGTGGTGGAACGGGAGCTTCGTTCCCTGGATGTGCATCCCACAAATCTCCATCAACTGCAAGATGCTATCCTATCAATATGGGCCAACATTTCTTAGCACCTTGTTGAATCAATGCCAAGTAGATTTAAGGCAGTTCTGAAGGCGAAAGGGGGTCAAACACAGTATTAGTGTGGTGTTCCTAATAATCCTTTAGGCGAGTGTAGTTAATAAGCTTGACCTTGTTGACCTCATTCACACACAACCAAGGTTATAATCGTTAACGAAAACTAACGAAAAAACGAAAACTAGATGGGAAAAAACATTGTCGTTAACTGAAATAAAAATAAAAACGAGCCATTACAAAAAAACTATAACTAACTAAAACTGTAATGTGTGTTTGCAAAACTAACTAAAATAAAATAAAATTATAGAGCAAATGTCCTTAGTTTTCGTCTTTAACACTATTTAAAACACGCAGTGTATTCGTTGCATTTCATTTCCCTGTAACGCTTTCTCCCTCCGTCTCTCTCTCAAATGCACGCACACACACAGCCCCTCCCCTCCGTGCAATGCACACCGCGTCTCTATGAAAACGAGGGTTCGATCAATGTTAAAAGCAAGTTCGCGAAAGGTTGGTATCTCATGATGAACATTTTACACAATCACACATTAAAAGGTGGTGTAAAAATATGTTAAATTCTTAATACAATTCTGTAAGTGTGTTAATGTCAACCCGAGAAACGATTGAGCCTTCGTTAGAAAGTTACTGACTTGGTTGCAATTTTGAGGTAAAATGCTGCTGGGCAGTGGGCATGGCCGTGGCTAACCAGTCCGGACCTCGGCCATTTTTTTTTTTTACATTCAAAAATGGAATGGCATGATTGAATGATTATGTGACTGATTAATTAGCCATGTTTAGACCACCTGTGTTTCAATTCATGTTGCAGCGAGAAGCTAGCGTAGTGAAGGGGGCTTGAGAACGCATTGTGAATGAGGGCGCTAGTGTAGCCTCTGTGTTGCCAGATCCACCTAATCGAATGGTGCGGTAATCTTCTGGACCTGTTTTTCGGATTTTTTTGTGACACTTTAGGAAGTTATTATAGTGGAAAGTTGCATGTTAGTGTTAGTGATATATTAATCTTATTTCCAAAACACAAGCTTTGAAGTAATTTCGAATTGTTATTATATTATTTGCTTGTTTTTCGTAGCAATATCTGGCAACATTTTACTGTCTGCGTTAATAAAAAAAGCTTTTTTTTTATTGACAAACTGCAATTGCATAAGGCAACCACTCCAAACGCAATGATCATTGTGATTATCTGTAAAAACAATAGCATAATACAGATCTGTATGTTACAGAATAAAATTTGCCAAAATAACCTTACTGGCCAGCTGGAAGACAGCTCATGCTTTGTTAACGTTTCACATAGTCATCATAAATGCAATAATTAAAGTAGTGTTTCTCAACTAGCAATCTATTCAACTAGCAATTTATTTAGACCTACTTTTATTCTGTTTCTTTGCACAAAACTCTCCAGAAAGTGCCATTTAATAGTTAATATATGATATATATATATATATATATATATATATATATATATATATATATATATATATGGTAAATTCCTTTAAAAAAATCCCTTCATGTCCATGGGGAAATGTGGGTCCAATAGCCTAACCATTATTATATTACTAATTATTGTGAGGTAATTATTAACCATTATTACCTCACTAGTTTTCAGACCCTGGTTGCGGCCTTGCTGCTTGGTTGTCGGTGTCAAAACTCTATAAGCTGTGATTCAAATATTAAATAATGTTATGTCATTATTTTACTCTTACACTGACTGTTTGCTGCTTCAGTCCAGATAAGTGTTGTATAGGGTAAATTTAGTATAAGGTGTGGAAATTGTAAAGCTGTGGGATTTTTTTATAGAAGATATCTAGATTGTTACGGTAAAGGATTTTCACATTGTAGGCTTCATTTTATGTACTGGTTTTAATGTTGAATAGATATTTCTAAAATTGTATGATGTTTTTGTTGAGTTATTGTTACACAATTCTTTTTCTGACCTTTTTCAACCTTGCCCCTGACAAATAACCCAAACTACAAAAAAAAGACTAAAACTAACACTAAAACTAATAAAAACTAAACTAAAACTAAGCATTTTCAAAAAATAGAAACTAAACTAAACTAGCAAACCCACTTTTAAAACTAATTAAAACTAAACTGAATTTGAAAACAAAAATTCAAAACGAAATAAAAATAAAAACTAATGAAAAATGCAAAACTATAATAACCTTGCACACAACATCTTTATGGTGGTTGAGTTACATCCGTTTTAGATCATCTACAAAGATGAATCTAAAGAAGTATATAAGAAAACTATATTTTGTTATGTCTAACTAATTTTGTTCTTGCTTAATGAGAACATGGAAGCTTATTTCCGCCACAGAATAAAACATTTTAAACGATAATTGCGACATTTCATCTCACAAATGTGAGATATAAAATCAGAAGTGCGTGATATAAAGTCACAATTGCACAATTGCAATTTTTTTTTTTACAATTCTGAGGAATAAAGGCTTTAAGTCTTTTTTCATGACTTTATAACACACAATAACGAGTTTATATCCCGCAATTCTGACTTTTTTTTTTCTCGGAATTGTGAAATACTGTATAAACTCACTTTAAAAAGTTAGTTTAGTTTCAGTTCTGACTTTTCTGACGTCACAATTCTGTCTTTATATTTATTATTTCCCAATTGCGTGTTATAAAGTCAGAATTACAAGATTATGTCTCAGAATTACTCATTTATATAACACACAATTGCAACTTTATGTGACGCAATTCTGAGAAAAAAAAGTCCGAATTGTGAGATAAAAGTATAGTTAAAATATATGATTTTGGGGTGAAATATGACCTGCACATTTTTTGGTGGGATTCACCCAGACATAGATGAGGTGAACAGTATTGAGTGAAGTGGCGGTTAACAAAACCCAGAGACTAACCCGAAACAGTCTCGAGTTCTGAGCGTTTAAGGGTAAATCATTTCCACATGTCCTGAGGAAATAAGGATGAGGGCTTTAAATACCTCGGCTCTAGCCAGGTAATGTGTGTTAATGAACAGCAGAGGGTTTATTAAGGCCTAATTGGGGATTACACTGAAATGATTGACGTCAGATGGACTTGAGGGGAAGGACGCCACATGGTACTGTTCATCGTGGCTACCGGTGTGAATTCAACAGTTATATGAATAAAAGTGCATGCGTTTGCTGTTTCTGCAGATATAGACGAGTGCTCTTTTGACCGGGCGTGTGACCACACGTGTGTGAACTCACCTGGAAGTTTCCAGTGCTACTGCCACAAAGGTTACGTCCTCTACGGCGTGGCTCACTGCGGAGGTACGTGATGCATTATGGGATTGTTTTCTTTGTGAGTTTCATGACAAAGAGTCTTTGTCATGAGTTTTGTGTCAAGTCAATTTGCATTAAAAATGTCATAACTGAGCGAATGACACTTAATGACAGTTGTCACAAACATGAATAAAACTTCTTTCATATTCATAATGTCATGGTTATGAAGGTGTCATGTCAGTCTTATGCACACCCCTTCAAGTAAAGTGTAATCATAAAATGCATTCACTTGAGAAGCAAAATAAGATATCAAGTCTTGTTTTCTGATTTGAGTACGCTTAAAAGAACTTTAACCACAGGTGGGACGTTTGCCACTATATTTTTAAAACAATAATATCTTAGTAAATACCTTAAATAATATTGACAAACTATATATTATTTGAAAGCTTACAATCTCTAGTTTCCATATTTGGTGACTGATTTTCAAAATATATTACAGAGGAGCCATAATTTATCAATATAAAACAAGAATATTTTCATACTCATAAGGCGTGTTCAGACCTTTATTTTAAAATAGCAGTAAACATGAAAAATCATGAAAAAATGGTAGATGCCTCAGTTTGTTTTCATGCCAAAAGTTCAAAAGATAGAATCCATTCAATTATTTTGAAAAAAAAAAAGGTCTGAAAAGTTTGAAATATCAAGAAAAAAATAATAAATTCACCATTTGTGACGTGGCAGCTAGCTATGACTTACATGCGTGTTCTTTGTATGTGTTTCTTAGAGGTTCAATTCATATCAAAATCTGCCAAACGTCCCATGCTACTTCTGAATAGGATCTCTACTTCAGAAATTGTATGAAAATTTTGAAAATAATGGTTCATATCACTCAAAACAGGAATGGAAATGCAGGCGCCCTTATATGGGCAGTAATGGAGTCTGATTGTGCCCTAGTGAAAAAGTTTGGTACTGCGCTCAAACAAAATCTTACTGAAAGCTCATTTTTTGAGATATCAACCTAAAATTTGAAACACAACTTGTTCAGATTTTTGGCTTTGATCTTTCTGCCATTTTAGAGTAGCCCAGGTTTTGAAAATATATATTTTATGTAAAATATGAATAATTAATATTTTTACATTGTACATTTCCATAAACTCAAACTTCTATAACTTTTTTTCTGTTTCACTTTCTTAATTTATTTCACGTCTACAAAAATCTGCCAAATGTCTTCTTTAAAACAAGACCAATCATATGTCTATATTCCAAAGCATTCTTGAATTACAACCATTTAAGTTCGAAATGTGCATTTTCATGTCTATTCAAAAAAGGGGGGGGGGGTGACAGTTAACAGGTTAAACAAGTTTTTTTTCTAGTTTGAGGGGTAAAAGTGTGCATTTTGTTATCTAACATCATTTTGCTTCTCGAGTAGATGTATCTCGATGTAAGAATGTTTAGATATTTGTACTGGAAAACAAGACACAAATACTGAGGAAGAAAATGATTTTTCCAGTGTAGAGAAACTTCTAATAGATAACTCATGTTGGTCGACTCTCTAGCTCTACCTCGGGCAAACACATCCAATGAAAACTGAGACTTTCCTATATAAATGCTCTTTAGTTTCCTCGTGCAGCAGTCAGGACCCTGATCCAATCTTTAAAAGATGTTCAGAGCTTGGCGTAAGGCACTTAGCAAATAACATATATGTCTGTGAAATAACTGATATTTGAAGGTCTGCAAAAAAAGCACTGTTCTTCCTTAGTATTTTTGTCCTATTTTCCACTATAAATATCTAAACATTCTTAAAGGGATAGTTCACCCTCAAATGAAACTGAAGTCATTGTATTTGTACTAATGAAGTATGTCGTTCTTTGTTTTTCTGACCACAAAATGGTAATTTAAAAAAATAATAATGTCCCGCTCACCCTCGCATACAGTATACGATAGCGTTTGGTGAAAAACAACCATAAATTGAATGTAAGGAAAACCTTGACCTTGTCTGACATGCGTGACTCTGTTAGTGCCTCGGTTCACTCCGACTCACACTCTTAGAAGAAAAGGTTCTATATAGAACCTTAAAAGGTTCTATCAGCGCTACGTATTTGGAACCCCTAAAAGGTTCTATACACTCTTAAAAAAAGGGTTCCTCTGGGTTCTATATAGAACCCTGGGGTTCCATACTTGGCCAATAGAACCTTTTACCCCCCAAAAAAGGTTCTATATAGAACCATTTTGGAGATCCATATATGAAGCGGGGGATAGAATAGAACCATTTCTTCTAAGAGTGCACACTGAAAATCTAGATTAATAGATACGCAACATGAAATATGACACTTAGAAATCCCTAAAAAGTATCCATGTACTTAAATATCTCCAGGCCATCACTCCATTTGTTTGACAGATGTGAACACGATAACTTTTTGTCACGATGAACATGCTGTGCATATTCACCTCAGAGAACATGGACTGTATTTTATGTTGTGTTTTTGTTAATCTTGATTTCTCTCAACTCTATATCTTAATTTTCTCTCAACTCAATATCTTAAGTCATTTTGCTTCTCTAGTACATGTATCTTAATTTAAGAATTTTACTGGAAATCATGACAAAAAATACAGAGTATATGAATATATATATATATATATATATATATTTTATTTTATTTTATTTATTTTTTTGCAGTGTAAATAACCAATTTCAGATAAAGCCAGTGTTAAATGGCATGCAGACTCAAACCGTGCACTCTAAAAATGCTGAGTTGTTTTAAACCAAGTCTGGGTCAAATATGGACAAACCCAGACATTGGGTTAAGTGGCATTTTTAATCCAAACGTTTGGGTTTGTCCATATTTGACCTAAAATTGTGTTAGAACAACCCAGCATTTTGAGTGTGGCTATCATGTGAGATGGTTTCTTCATGGATGGACTTGAGGACAGCTCATTTAGTGAAATGTGTGTCTTACTATTGTTGAGATGACCAGAAATAATAAATGTGTTTCTCTCCGTTAGCTTTTAGATAACACCTAGATTAATGAAGCGCTCTCTTTTGTCTACAGAGAATGGTCGCCAGTTTCCCATTGACGGCTTACCTGCAGGGAAATAGACTTTCAATATACAATGTCTTGATTTTATTTTTTGACTCTACTAGAATAGTAATTTTCCCATATTCTCCATTGTTGCGGCTCCTCTCTTCCCAGTCTGTCAGTAACGCTCTGTTTAGTTCCTGTCTCTATGAAGCCCCTCCTTCTAAAAAGCACACTGTGCTCTAATTGGTCGGCTGGATCAGTGTGTTGTGATTGGTCAAGCGCTTCGAGTGTGTTTGAGAAAAGTCCCGCCCCTTTCCATAACCTCCACTTTAACACACTACTAACTAACTCAACAAGGCCCCGCCCCTTTATTCTGCGTATTAATTAATTATTTATTTTTATTTTTATTGACGTTGCAAGACATAAATACACATTTGGTCATATTATACAACATCTTTGTCCTTGTCCTACATCATAATTTTTAACAAGAAAACCAATAAAAAACAAAATTAATAAAAAAAAAAATAATAATAATAAATAAAAAATAAAAATGGTGCGTATGATGAATTATTTAAATGAGGAATATTGTGACGAGAAATGCTGACGTGCTGAGTTTACAGTAATCGTACACGTACAGTATATTCAGGTTTTAGTCTTTCTCCATTGAAGTAGATGTGAGCTGGACTCATGATTAGAAATAGTGGTCTGAGGTGTTACTAAAAGCTATGGAAGTGTAAGCCTAATGTTGATTTTCTCTTCCCGTCCGCGTTCCTCGATCTTGGAATTAATGAAGGCTCGGGATCCAAAAAGGGAAAGGAAATGTGAAAGGTTTAGCCTGGAGCCGGTTCAAATCTGATGGGGAATAACAGATCCACAAAAAGAAGGGAAACCAGACTAGCCTAGCAAGCAAGCTCTTTATTTCCTCAAGAAACTCTTGCAGATTTGTTGAAACGCACCTGACTCTGTTTCTAATACACTCGATGAAACCCATTTGCCTTTGGATTTGTGGGTTTTTTTTTTTTTTTTTTGTTCCGGTATTGGGATGTATTTTTCTACTGTAAAATATTTTAGAGAGTTTATTAGAGTACGTTTTACAAGTTTTTCTACTTTAAAATGTCAATTCAAAAAATGACTTGCTAATTACTTTCTGTACAGCAATTTCTGAGTGAAAATTGTTTCTACACCAATTATTTTTTGTGAAAAATTGCTAATTTTTCTTTAGTCCATTGGTCCAATTCACGTACTTATTATTAACCTTTGTTTAACCTTTATTATGCACTATTCTATTAAGTTTTGTAGTGTAAAAAGTAGTTATCACATTGAAAATTGCAATAAGACTTAGACAATTCTAGATTGTGCTCTTAATTGACCAAATATATACGATATTTAACCATATATAACCATACTTATATGGTTGACGTGTACAATTGATTTATAATGTGTCATTTAGGACACAAGTCATGTCATTAGATCAGACCATGCCTGTCCGATTAGTCACACTGGAAATGGAGTGCAATGCATTGTGGGATACAGTGTGGTTGTGTACTGCAGTAGTTTATGCGTACAGTAAATTTCTTTAAATCAATCATTTATTTGTAAAGTAAGAACAAAGATATTCGAAAATTGGGATGAACAACATAAAGTAAGTTCTGGCATTCAACAGCACTGTTAGTCATAACACAAATACAATTACATCAGCTTCATTTAGACTTTATTATAAGCCTTATAGTTTTTCTTTGGAAAGTAATGTTGTTCTAACAAATGGCCTTTAGATGTGTTTTTGTGTCGTTTTATAGATATCGATGAGTGCAGCATTAACCGGGGCGGCTGTAAATTCGGATGCGTGAACACTCTGGGCAGTTACGAGTGTACCTGTCCTCCTGGTTACAAACTGCTCTGGAACCGCAAGGACTGTGTCGGTATGTGGACAAGAGTGCCACCTAGAGGCCATTCAATGCTACTACGTCACGACTGAACTCTTATGAATCAGATGCACTTCATAAATATCTTTGCAAAAATTATAGGACCAATGAGATGTTCAAATGCATTTCAATACAGGACAAATGCAATTCTATTAAGTCAAACCTATAGTTTTTCTGCACGTCATACAGAAATCGTGAAATGTGCGTCCAGTCTGGTGTCCCCCAAAGCCACCCTCACTTGCAGTAAGACGGGGAAAAAGGACAGCTGCTCTCTCACATGTGCATCCAAAGCACATTATCTATCAGGTACATGCCGATATCCCCCCCAAAATAACTTCAGTATAACCACATAACACACTCGACCGTTCAACTCTAATGTTGTACGCTTGACAGAATCAGACAGCAGTTATTCTGTGAGCTGTGGAATACCCATCCTGCGAGGGAAATCCCAGAGCCGATTAAACACAAGCAACATCCACACCTGCATAGGTAAGATCACACACTTTATAGGGTACACTTTGGTGCCTCGTGTTGAAACCCAAAGGATAGTTGACTTTGAAATGAATTTTTGATATGTTTTATCTTACCTCAAGGGCATCCAAGATGTAGTTGTCTTTGTTTCCGCAGTATTTTCGTTTTTGATATTTTTCGGTCAAACCGTTCTTGTCGGTCAGTCATATAATGGAGGTCTATGGTCACCACCTCAAAGAGCATGCACAGAGAAGTCCAGATTAAACATGATTTAATGACTCGTAAATGTAAGTACACATTGATGGCCTAAGACACGAAACGAGCGGCTTGTGTGAGAAAACTTACATTTACGAGTCATTAAATCATGTTTAATTTGGACTTCTTTGTGCATGCTCTTTGAGGTGGTGACCATAGACCTGCATTATATGACTGACAGACGAGAACGGTTTGACCTAAAAATATCAAAATTGAAAATACTGCCGAAACAAAGACACCTACATCTTGGATGCCCTTGAGGTAAGCTAAAACATAGCAAAAATTAATTTCAAAGTGAACTATCCCTTTAACCCTTGTGCTGCATTATTAGGGACATTTTTGGTCTTTTGCAGTTTTCTTTGACCATTTTGGCTGTTTTAATGCAAATGGTATGACATTTTGCAAAATTGTGACTTTTTGGATAAATGTAAAAAATGTTATCCCATTTTGCAAAATATGTATAACACACACTGTGTAGATCAAATAGTAACACTCAGCACCGTAATGACCAAAAATGGCCCATTGAAACCCATTAAAACGTTGTTTAAATCAGAGGCTGTCATTAATACATGAAACATGATTTTTGCTCAAACATCCTTTCATTTTGAAGCGAAAGCATTATATTTGCATTATAAAGTGTATGATATCACTACATATGTGTTCCCTATGGGTGCAAATGCACCTTATTTTCCTGGTTTCCAATTAAAGGGTTAAAATCCTGAAACTGAATACATTGTTGGTAGTTATGATGAGGACTGATGCTGATTAAAAGATTTAACTTGGTAAAAGTGGAAAATAATAATATATAATATTTTAGGCAATATTTAATATGTGGCCATTTTTGGTCTTTAACACGCGAAGTGGGATTTTTTTTTTAAAAATCTGACATAACACAAAATCTTTAAATGCACCAGAAATAATGTTGCTGCTAATCTTTGACATATTCAAGACTGTGATGATCCAAATCTAAAGTTTTCTCTTTGCATTCAGTTTATTGAAAATAATTGAATTTTTGTGGTTCCTCCTCTAATACAAATCGATGGTTTCGCCAACAAAATCCTGAAATGGAATAAATTTTTGGTAGTTATGATGAGGACTGATGCTGATTAAACGATTTAACTTGGTAAAAGTGGAAAATAATAATAATATATAATATTTTATGCAATGTTTATTATGTGGCCATTTTTGGTCCTTAATGCACTCAACGGTGTTAAAAATCTAATGCAGCACAAGGGTTAATAAAATTAAACAAGAATTTTGAACATGGCTTCAGATTTTGGAACTTAACGCAAATTATGTGCCTCATTAAAATGTGAAAACTTGCAATACAAGATAAAATAACTCTTAAAGCAATTAATCAAATGTTGGAAAAGTATGGTGATATTATTAGTTATTTGTGTTGCCTATTCATCTGTGGTGTAATGCCTTAATTAAGGCTAAACTTGTTCTGGTGTAAAAAAAAAAAAAAAAGTCTGATTAGTGTTGTTGTTTTTAATAGTAACAAATAAATAAAATCACAGTCAAAGGGTGACACATCACCCTTTATGCCAATGGGTGCCACATATATAATGACTCGCATATATATGAACTCATCTCCTGTTTGTTACCAGTCAACATCTAAGCACCTCAATTTCACTGATCATTAGCTGGAGAGGAGGAAAACAAGTCATTTTCTAAGACATTCAGGCACTATTTGTGTATTTTGTTGAAAGTGCCAGCAAACAGAACCTGGAAACCGATGAGACGTTTCTTCTGAACATCTGCAGCCGATGATTCGCAGACACTTAATGACAGATACATCACAGCTATCCAATTACACGATCACTTGATGCGCTTGGCAAATTAGCAACTTGTTCACCATGGCTGATGTTTGTTTTGATGTCAGACTCGTTTCACATTAGGACGCCTGTCACGGCACACTATAATCTCAAATCGCTAAGTGTTCATGAAGCTAACACGAATCTGCTTCAGATGTTCAAAGACCACAAACCAACCCATTCCTTCGATCATGTTTAATGTAGCGATCCAGCGTCTGTGAATGAATGTAGTCAGGAAGGATGATGTTGAGTTGTGTATCAAAGCCTCTTTGTTTGGTTTAGAGACTCAGGCTCCTCCAGTGAAGCAGACGGCATCCTTTCGGATCAAGAACGCCAAGTGCTACCTGCACCCGAAGCACAAGGGCAGAGCAGAGGACAACGGCAGACAGATCGGGCCAGGTCAGAGGTCATAGGGCCCAGGAAATGAAGGGTACCATATCATTTTGATGGTCCCTGTAGTGGAATAAGGTTATAGCATTCTTGTTTTGCTACATAAACAATGATAATCGGGACCGTCCGTCGGGTTAAACATTTTCCAAAATACATATTTGAGAAAATACATAATGAGTCAGTGTCCAACGCTGTCTACTTGCCTTAGCTCGATTCAAAGCGGTGAGCTTGTAATCATGTTTTTGATTCCAGTGGTACTGGTGGATTTCCGCAGGAGATTCGAGCATGTCTTTGCGTCATTATGTCACATCTGTACACATAAAGGAGAGTCTCGGCTAGTATGTAAGGGTTAATGCCCGACGAGGTGTCCATTGTGTTCGCCGGAGCTGCGCGTCGGCCGGTTCACGCCTCGCCGTCGTCCATTAAAACCTGACAATGGACACCTCGGAGGACATTAACCCGCTTATACCATGGTCACTTGCCAAATAAAACATTTTTAAAACATTAGTTTATATTTTAATTAGGCTAAATCTAGTTTTTACAAATAATAACTTGCCTTACGGTTTATTTAGCGACCGGAGATATTTATAGTCCGCTCAGCTTGTAGAACCCTTCAGGTTCAAAAATGCATTTTTGTTTTTCATGAAACACAGGTAGGCATAGTTATTTTTTTTATTACACATAAAACAATTAATCAAACAAAAATCAGAAAAACACACAAAAAAACAAACAAACAATTAGTTCTGAGCACCAGCGATTTGCGCTTATATAGGGCAATAAATCAATCAGATCAAAGAGAGGGTCATTTGCCTAGCTACATTCTAGCTTTTTTATTTACAATTAATTTCAACGTTTCCATTTATAGTGAAATTTGAAAAAGTCGGCCAGTCAGAAGGATCCACAAAAGCTGGGTAACGTTACTGCTGCCCATGATGGGCACTTGATGCCCGCAGACTGCTCTCGCAATCTCGCATCGATAGCCTGTCACCGACATTATTTGACGGCTCTCCAGTCCAGCATCGGAGAGTCGACCTACAGCATACCAGTCGTCAAAGTTGCCATATTCTCCATAAATGTTAAATGAAATAACGAAGTCGCTCATTGTTGTATTAGGGGCCGTTCACATATCGCGCCTAAAAACGCGTAGAAAACGCTAGGCGCCCGCGTTCTCCTTTTTCCAAAGAAGCGCTAGGGCGGTTGCACTCCGGAGGCGTCTGTCGTTGCTAAGCAACCATCAGCTGCGCTCTCCATTACATGAAGGAAATTTCAGCAATGGATTTCCACCACCAAAAAACCTTTGCTGTAACTCTGTTACAAGATTTATTTACTCAGAAAAGTAAAAAAGCGCCACAGTGTTTGGGTGCACCCCATACTACAAAAACGCAAGAACCATGGGGAATTTCACCAGCTGATTCAGGAACTCCGCCTGGACAATGGGAGGTTCAAAGCCTATTTCAGAGTGGACAAGGACCAGTTTGATTATATTTTAAGAAGAGGTAACAAAAATGGCGAGGAAGCTGATTGGTTGACGTGACACGTGACCTACGGTGCGCTTGCGGCATTCTGAAAAGTTGAGATGTTTTTATCTCGATGCGGCGCGGACGCGCCTGGAAAAAACGAGCGCCATTATGAGCGCGCATACCGCGCGCCTACATTTGAAATAACGAACTTGAGCGCGCAAAAGACGCGATATGTGAACCAGCCCTTAGGCTATAGAATCTAACGTTAGATGTTTGTTTTGATAGAGCGTTTGACTGCCTGTTGCTATGGTTACTCACAGCTGTTGTAGGCAGCGCATTTATTTATTCATTTCAAATAGTAAACAGGCAGTTTCACCAGAACTACTTTACTAGGTGTCCTCTATCACTTTTTAACGGACACCCTGCAGCCAATCAGAATCGAGTATTCACCCAGACCATGGTATAAAAGCTATATTGCGGATGAGGATGTTGGAGGTGGAGATTTATTGCCTTTTCTCACAGCACTTGATATAATCAAACTTATCAATTCGATTGTAAAATGCAAAAGACTTCGCTCGGACTTCAAGGTGGAGACACTTTTTTAAAAGTGAACTACTCCTTTAAATCACACACATTCTAAATTCCAAAGCAATATATTTAAAAACTGTGAATGACTTGTTGACATAATGAAACTCTGACATTTAAATAGCCTTTTTGTGATACTAACTTGATTTGTAGGTGGTCAGCCATGCAGCAACTGCCTGGTCACCTTTGTTAACCTGAAGTGTGACTCGTCTAAGAAGTCCAAAGGTCGTCGAGCGCGTAACCCGTCAAGCAAAGAGGTCACACGCATCACTCTGGAGCTGGAGGCCGAGGTCAAGCCAGCGGACACCACTGGTGAGTCTCACGTCCTCGCCTAAAATAAACACCTCGGGATTTTTGTCTTGTTTTCCAGTACAAATATCGTAACATTCTTAAAGGGTTAGTTCACCCAAAAATGAAAATTCTGTCAGTATTTCCTCACCCTCATGTTGTTCCAACCCCGTAAGACCTTCGTTCATCTTCGCAACACAAATTAAGATATTTAAGATATTAAGATCGCTCCTGCATACTAGTCCATAGGCTTCTTGAGGGAATGACTTGCTGTCCTCAAAGTCGTTAAAATAGTCCAAGTGACTACAGTGGCTCAATCTTAAGTTTATCAAACGACGAGAACACTTTTGTGCGCAAAAAAACAACAAAAATAACGACTTTATTTCAACTATTCGTTTATTTCTCTGGTTACTAGTTTAATAGCGTAAGCTTCTGTTATTGTACGTCACACGCATCACACACATGACCAGCGTCGGCCAATAGTAGGCCTACGTGTGACGTAGCTCTACGCAATCACACTACGTTAACTGACTACAGGCCCATAGAGAAGGAAGTGAATAGTTGAAATAAAGTCGTTATTTTTGTTGTTTTTTGCGCACAAAAAGTGTTCTCGTCGTTTGATAAAGTTAAAATTGAGCCCCTGTAGTCACTTGGACTATTTTAACGATGTCTTTAATGACTTTTCGATGCCAGCAAGAGTCAGAAGATGAACGAAGGTCTTACGGGGTTGGAACAACATGAGGGTGAGTAAATACTGACAGAATTTTCATTTTTGGGTGAACTAACCCTTTAAAAGGCACAATATGTAGTTTTATCGCCACTAGAGGTCGCCTATTCAAAACAAAGGCGTAGCTTGCGAGATTGAGCGCGGGTCAATGTTTTTTTTTTTTTTTTTTTTTTGCTTTATCGGAGGGGATGAAACTTGGTGACTTTTGTTGTATTACCTATGTGAACACACAAAATCAAGGAGATGATTCGGATATGTTAAAGGTTCGTAACAAAAAAAAAATAGTCACACTTGACTTCCTCCCGGTCAAAAATGACCGACCATAGGAAATGAATGGGAAATACGGAAAAAAAAAAAATAGGAAAACTCAAAGAAACTTTTGGTGGTACAAACTACAGCAAATTTTTAGAATGTGCAAAATAAAATCAATAAATAAATAAAACTCTCGCTCAAATGCACACATACACACACGCACACTTACTTTGTTCGATTTTTTTAAGTCATGACGTTCATCTTGTTCTCCTGTAGGGAGCTGTAACATGATGTGTCAAAGGCAGCGCATGGAGCAGCAGATGAAGTCGTACATTAAAACCCTGAAAAAATCCATTAACCAGGAGCGTTTCCTCATCCGTGTGGCCGGGTTGGAGTACGAGGTCGCGCAGAAGCTCCCGCAGGCTGCACTGAGGCAGGAGAACTGCGGACCGGGCCGAGAGAAAGACAGCGGCCGCTGTGGTAAGAACGGAAGAGTGAGTGGGGCCTGTTATTCACGAACCCCTTGAATAAGGCAAGGGCTTCCTATTGCCCAGACAGTAGAGCCTGGCACCTGCTACGCCAAAGTCATGGGTTTGATTCCCAGGGGAATTATATGTAAATGTATAGCTTGAAGGCAGAGTTGCATTGAATAAAAGCGCTGCCGCCTGCCAAATAAATACATGTAAGTGTAAGGGCTCTATATCATACATCCCAGCAATCAATTTTGCATTTTAAAGACGTCTAATAGCCGTCCAAACACAGCCCAGGCATAAAAAACAAGCCTTTTTATTATCAACAGATAAGAATGAGCAAGAGCATCTACTGGAGATAGAAACTTGCATGGATATTAGGGGTGTAACGAAACACTCATGTCACGGTTCAATAGATATCACGATAGGACGTGATTGCGATACTCCAACACATATGATAAAAAGTTCCCAAAAAATGTAATATTTGATGAAAATCCTAAATTTGGGATTACATTGAGGGATTAAATTAATAGACTTGGACTTAGTGCTGGAAACCCAATGACAATAGAGACACCAGAATAACTGACTAAACCAAAGATTAGCTTATTAGTAAATATTTGCGAGACAAATTTGAGCATTTTACATTGGTACACAGTTGAAACTACAGGGTTTGTTTTATTTTCATTATTATCATTATTATTATTGAACAAAGATCCCAGGGGGATACATGTATCACAAAATAAAAAGACTTGAGGTAGAGTAAGGCAATAAAGTGCATTTTCAAACAAGATAAAGTAGACAGGGTACAAAAAAGTAATTCATAAAACATTTAAAGCAATAGAAATTAAACATACAATACATGAATTTGAAACTATTAGGTGAAGTTATTAAGTAAAGTCAATTTCATTGTCCTCACTGCTGCCCCCTGCTGGCTGCTCTCTCTCAGTCAGATGTTTGCCTGGGTCTTACTACCATGGTGAGCAGGAGCGCTGCGTCCACTGCCCACCTGGAACCTTTCAGGAGCGGGAGGGTCAGCTGGCCTGTGACCTTTGCCCTGGAGGAGACCGCCATGGTCCACCAGGGGCCCGCAACATCACATCATGTGCAGGTGACCAGCCTTAATCCATGTGCCTTCTACTTGCTAATGGATGCAAATGTGTTGAACTAAAAGTAGGTGTCGATTCATTTTATTTGTTGTCTTTTGGTGTATTTGAAAATGTTCTCCTTTCTTTTATTTACCCGTGGAATGCTGTCCATGCAGAAATTGTATCAAGTGATGAATCCACTATTGTAAAACCTGAAGTACTTTTCTAGCAGTTCTGTTTCTCTTTATCTTTTTGTACAACAAAAATGAACCATCATTGAACTTACTTAACCTTTTTATTAATAATAGATACAGAATATATTTTATTGGTGATATGTGTATATTTAGAATGATATCAATCAATGGTATCTGTAATTGTCACGTGGAGAACATCAAAAAGTCAATTCTGTCTTTTTATAGGTCAATGTCCACCAGGGTATTTCTCCAGCGATGGGTTCAAGCCCTGTCAGTCGTGTCCCCTAGGAACGTACCAGCCCGACCCAGGACGAACTCTCTGTTTCCCCTGTGGAGGCGGGCTCGGTACCAAAAGAGAGGGTGCCAGCTCCTTCAATGACTGTGAGGTCAAAGGTCAGGCATTATGACATATTCACCTCAAGCTGAACAGTGTGCATAAAAACTATTATAATATATTCATGATGTTTGGAGCAAAACACAGTGCACAATTTTTAGTTAAAGAGGTAGGCAATGAGGTTTTTTTTAAACACTTTTTTATAAACACTTTTACGGAGGCTCAGTAGTGCACAACACAATGAAATTTTGAAAATATAAGTTGACAACACTACGAAGTCAAGTCACAACACGATGGAATCAAGCAACAACACGACGGAATCAAGTCACAACGCCACGGAATCAAGTCACAACACGACGGAATCAAGTCACAACGCCACGGAATCAAGTCACAACGCCACGGAATCAAGTCACAACACGACGGAATCAAGTCACAACGCCACGGAATCAAGTCACAACACGACGGAATCAAGTCACAACACGACGGAATCAAGTCACAACGCCACGGAATCAAGTCACAACACGACGGAATCAAGTCACAACGCCACGGAATCAAGTCACAACGCCACGGAATCAAGTCACAACTCGACAGAATCAAGTCACAACGCCACGGAATCAAGTCACAACGCCACGGAATCAAGTCACAACGCCACGAAATCAAGTCACAACGTGACGGAATCAAGTCACAACGCCACGGAATCAAGTCTCAACACGACAGAATCAAGTCACAACGCCACGAAATCAAGTCACAACGTGACGGAATCAAGTCATAACGCCACAAAATCAAGTCACAACGTGACGGAATCAAGTCACAACGCCACGGAATCAAGTCACAACACGACGGAATCAAGTCACAACACGACGGAATCAAGTCACAACGCCACGGAATCAAGTCACAACGTGACGGAATCAAGTCACAACGCGACGGAATCAAGTCACAACGCCACGGAATCAAGTCACAACGTGACGGAATCAAGTCACAACACGACGGAATCAAGTCACAACGTGACGGAATCAAGTCACAACGCGACGGAATCAAGTCACAACGCGACGGAATCAAGTCACAACGCCACGGAATCAAGTCACAACACGACGGAATCAAGTCACAACGCCACGGAATCAAGTCACAACGCCACGGAATCAAGTCACAACGCCACGAAATCAAGTCACAACGTGACAAGTCACAACGTGACGGAATCAAGTCACAACACCACGGAATCGAGTCACTACACAACGGAATCGAGTCACAACGCGACGGAATCAAGTCACAACGCGACGGAATCAAGTCACAACGTGACGGAATCGAGTCACTACACAACGGAATCGAGTCACAACGTGACGGAATCAAGTCACAACGTGACGGAATCAAGTCACAACGCGACGGAATCAAGTCACAACGCGACGGAATCAAGTCACAACGCGACGGAATCAAGTCACAACGCGACGGAATCAAGTCACAACGCGACGGAATCAAGTCACAACACCACGAAATCAAGTCACTACACGACGGAATCAAGTCACAACACGACTGAATCAAGTCACAACGCCACAGAATCAAGTCACAACACGACGGAATCAAGTCACAACGCCACGGAATCAAGTCACAACGCCACGGAATCAAGTCACAACGCCACGAAATCAAGTCACAACGTGACGGAATCAAGTCACAACGCCACGGAATCAAGTCACAACGCCACGGAATCAAGTCACAACGCGACGAAATCAAGTCACAACGTGACAAGTCACAACGTGACGGAATCAAGTCACAACGCCACGGAATCAAGTCACAACGCCACGGAATCAAGTCACAACACCACGGAATCGAGTCACTACACAACGGAATCGAGTCACAACGCGACGGAATCAAGTCACAACGTGACGGAATCGAGTCACTACACAACGGAATCGAGTCACAACGTGACGGAATCAAGTCACAACGTGACGGAATCAAGTCACAACGCGACGGAATCAAGTCACAACGCGACGGAATCAAGTCACAACGCGACGGAATCAAGTCACAACGCGACGGAATCAAGTCACAACGCGACGGAATCAAGTCACAACACCACGAAATCAAGTCACTACACGACGGAATCAAGTCACAACACGACTGAATCAAGTCAACGCGACGGAAAGAAGTCACAACTCAATAGAATCAAGTCACAACATAACAGAATGAAATGTCCTTGATTCCGAACTTGATTCTGTTGTGTGTGTAGTGCATATCACATCAGATGTACACATTTGCTGGTCAACATATACCTATTTATTGCTCCCTATTGCCAACATACACATCCCTGTTACTTTCTCTCTTGCTCCCCCTAATGGTCACTGTCCTACAGTGTCGTTATCTTATTTTTGTTTCATTGTGTTGTGCACTACTGGGCCACCATACTCTTCACATCCTGATAGCAATCAATAATAGAAGTCCTCTAAACATTAAAAAATGCCTCTGAAGTTGCCCTCCCTAGCTTTAAAATTTGAGTCAAATTTTCTGTTATACATTTATTAATTTTGTACTCTTGTAGTCCATGTGTGTGTGAGGGGAAGCTTTATGTTAAACCAGCCCATGTGACATCTGTGTGTGTGTGTGTGTGTGTGTGTGTGTGTGTAGTGTTGTGTTCTCCAGGTCATTATTATAACACCTCAGTTCACCGTTGCATCCGCTGTCCTCATGGAACCTACCAGGCTGAGTTCAGACAGAATTACTGCATCTCCTGCCCCGGAAACACCACCACTGACTTCGACGGGGCCATCAGCGTCTCTCAATGCAAGAGTGAGTCTGTTCATCCTAAAGCACAAGTGTGGACTTCTTAGGAGTCCCTCATCCCTTAACTTGATTGAAAATCTGGAGGTAAAACCAACATCACATCAACAAATGGCATTTTAAGTGAAATTATGTTTTGTTATTGGATCCTCATTTTACATTTTCCCCCATTACTGATAGCCGACACTCTTAACTGAAAAGATTAAAAATATCAACAAATGTTTTACCCCCAAAATGTTTATTTTTACAGGCATAACTGCAGCATTAGTTTATTCGGTTATAGAATTTAGTAAATTCGGTTATAGAATATGGTTTACTGAACTGTGCATATGCATCACTAAAAGGTGAAGTGTCAACTGAATTGATCTGCAGTACGTGGCCTTATATTTACTAACCTAAAGGGGTAAGAATTTTCATGTGTTAATCGCTTTTTGTATCGTCAATGTGTGAACAGCCTGTAACGAATTTGCTGGCTGCAGTTCACTTAACAGCCACCGGTGTCGCTAATAACAAGGATTTCTGAATTTTACATAAAGTCCTTTTAAAGGTCCCCTGACATGTTTTTTTTAAATTTTATTTTATAATGTTTCCTGGGTTGCCCTTATAATGTTAGTATGTTTTTTAGATCAAAAATAGTCATAATTTAGAAATAAAAGGCATTATAGACTAGTTTTGTAATCAGGCTCTCAAAAATTATATAAAAATTTGGATTTAGATTTATCGGCCAATATATCGGTTATTGGATTTCAAATATAGAATTATCGGTATCAGCCAAAATGTTCATATCAGTTTATCTCTAATAAAAAGTTATTATTCTATTAAAGTTATGTAAATGTTCTTAATGAGAAATTTACCGTAACGTGATCTTTTTGTTTATTTGTTGATGTGTTCAGATCGGGAATGTGGGGGTGAAATCGGCGAGTTCATCGGATACATAGAGTCCCCCAACTATCCTGGAAACTACCCAGCCAATGTAGAGTGTGTCTGGACCATCAACCCTCCACACAAACGCAAGATTTTGATCGTGGTCCCGGAGATCTTCCTCCCATCCGAGGATGAGTGCGGAGACGTCCTAGTCATGAGGAAGAACTGTACGTTTTTGTGCTTTTCCAGGTTTAGCCTTTATAAAGTGCATTAGTGCCTGCACACTTTTCCTGTGCCGTTGGTTACGGAAGTATTTTTTCCATTAATTTTTCCCATTGAGGTTTTAAAAGTGTTTATAAACACATTGTAAGCAAAGATCCAAACCAACCAAATCCTACCAAAAAAACAAACAAACAATGAATTGTGACTTATCGGGACTAATCTCTCTATGTTAGTGGTGATGGTTTCTTAAACTTTGATTTAAACACTAATAAATGTTCTTCTCAGGGTCAGCAACCTCCATCACCACCTATGAGACATGTCAGACATACGAGAGGCCGATCGCGTTCACGGCCCGATCTCGCCGCCTCTGGATCAACTTCAAATCCAACGATGTAAACAGCGCTCGCGGCTTCCAGATTCCCTACGTCACTTATGACGGTACGGTGGATTTTAGGTGGATTTCTGTCCATTCTCGACATTCATTGTCACTAAAATGCGCATGATTTTATTTTTCTTTAGAAGACTACGAGCAGCTGGTTGAAGACATTGTAAGAGATGGAAGACTTTACGCCTCTGAAAACCATCAAGAAATACTCAAGGTTAGTTTTGTGACTAGTGAAGTCTGATTTGGCAGTAACAGTGCGTTTACTCTTTATTCAAAACCCTTAAAGGGATAGTTCACCCAAAAAATGAAAATTCTGTCAGTAATTACTCTCCCTCATGTTGTTTCAACCCCCGTAATTCTTTCGTTTATCTTCAGAACACGAATTAAGATATTTTTGATTAAATCTGAGAGCTGGATCACTCCTCCATTGGCTTCTTAAGGGATCGAAACTGGCCGGCCCAAAAGTTAGTAAAGACATCGTTAAAATAGTTCGAGTGACTACAGTGGCTCAACCTTAAGTTTATTAAGTGACGAGAATACTTTGACGAGAAAACGACTTTAATGAACTGTTCTCTTGGTTTTGACATTTCACGTAGTGAAACTGCGCAAATCTTCTAGGTTGCACGTCACACGCAGGCTCACTATTGGCCGACACTGGTCATGTGTGTGATGTGTGTGACGTACAACACAGAAGCGCTGTTCTGTCACACTACGTGAAATCTCAAAGCCCTCAGGGAAGGAAATGGACAATTGAATAAAGTCGTTATTTTTGTTTTTTTTAGTGTGCAAGGTTTCTGTGCGTGACGAATTTTAGGATGACGAATACAAAAAAAATGAAATTTTCATATGCGTTTTTTTCCTATTTGTCATTTGGTGGCTCTGAAATCTCGAAACACCTCTTAAAATGCTTGCAACGGCAGGGCTGCAACAAACGATTATTTTGATAATCGATTAATCTAACGATTATTAGAACGGTTAATCGACTACTCGTCGATTATTTTGCCGGCTACTCATTAAGTTTGGAACGATTATTCAGCTTTTTCAATTAATTAAAACATTGAGTTCTACGTATTCTTACTATAATAACATTATAGCACTATAATAATATTATAGTAAGAATATGTATATTGTATATTATACAAAAAGCGAATCAGTTCAGCTTTTGAAATAGTTGTTTTAATGAACTTTGAGCCAACTAAACAGGTCATTCTCTAAGTTTTCAGCACACCAACATGCATGTTGTTCTCCCATGAAAAGCAAGTTCCACCTTACATGTATTGCACATGACAGCATTGTTGCTTTTAATTTTTGTGAAACTTTCCCAAAACTTGCTAGTTCGGATTCGTTTGTACGTTCTGTTTTTTTCTTACCGCAGTAGCATTTGTAAAGGGCTGCATTACACTCGCAATATCGCACGCCCTTACATTAGGTCAAGTGAGATCAAACGACTACTCGACAACAACGATATTTGTCGACAATTTTTTATTGTCGACAATGTCGACTAATCGTTTCAGCCCTATGCAACGGATGCGAAAAACGCAGATAATCGAACACGATCTGAATTTTTTTATGACGGACAAAAGTTTCGGACGCAGTGTGCGCGTGATCGACACAACTTGAGGTCGTATTTATTTTTCAGACGAGAATTTCAGGTCCTTCGGTGTGATTTCATGTCAAAATTGTGTTGTTTAAACTGCTAATTTCTATACACTGACCGTACATGTTGAAAGCGTTTCGATTTGTAAACGATGTCCATTTCATGCCAGTCTCATTCGATTTTTCTCCATTCTCTTTCCATCAGGATAAAAAACTGATTAAAACTCTGTTCGACGTGCTGGCTCACCCAAACAATTACTACAAGTACTCGCCCCGGGACTCCACGGAGATGCTCCCGCGTTCATTCATACGCCTCATCCACAGCAAAGTCTCCGCTTTCCTGCGCCCGTACAAATAATCCGAGAGCTCCATCCACACACCTCCAGTCACCTGGCCTCGAGTCAACGGGATCCTACACACATGTAAAGGAAATACACATATTCAACAGCACACACACAACCACACTATGCAGATTTCAGATGTTTCACTTCACCCTTTTCTTTTCTACTTCTTGTCCGTCACCTCCGAGGAGAAAACAGCTTCTGTGTAAGTCTACATGTAACGCAGTCGTATCGAGTTTCCTTTCGCGATGGTTTTCTTCGGTCGTATGAACGCTTGCACGCTCAGTCCCGTAGAGGAAGGCGATAGTTCGGGTGGTCCCACTCCTCCCATTAAGAGCGACGTGAGCGTGTTGTACAGACAAAAGAAAGTCGTCGCATGTCAAAAGAAAAGAAAATCTACTTGTTGAACTGGAGCTTTAAAAAAAAAAAGTGGCTTTCCCCAAGTTCCAGCCGTCGTAAACTGTACTAGTTCTCAGAATAAGTGTTCAATCTTTTGTATATCTGTACTTTTAGTGTGCTCTTGGTAAGATCTAATTCATATCAAGCATTTCCACAATGTTAAAACATTATATTTGAGCTCCTAGAGCATACATGTAATCTCTAAAGGTCATGCTGTTAAAACAGTAGTTTCGTTAAGGTCTGCCAGTTCAGATTGTATTATTGTCAACCGCGTATTCGTCTATTTCCTAATATTCAAGTTAATTTAACAAATGGTGCGTTATTGGAAAGGCTCGGGTGATGAGAAGGTCGGTTGGGGGTTTTAAGAACGGTGGACTGGTAATTGAGTTTTTTGCAGGACATGCAATTGCTGCTTCTTCAGAAACGTCACTTTAAGCCTATCGCGATTTAAGAAACGTCCCACGGAGAAGAGCAGTCGAGGGGCCGGACTCTTTAAAGGATTTCACAGTGCAGACATGATAAACGTAAAGCACAGGGTTGACGTGGATGGACTTTCCGGTCACGACGAGCGAGATGAAATGACAGTGTTTTGAGTTTGTTTTGCACATTATAGAAGGACCCAAAGAGAAGCAGCGTTCAGGTTACGAGTGTTGGGTTTCACCGGACCGCGGTTAGATAAGTGCCTGAAGTGCAAAAGTGTCAGGATAAGCCTGTGGATGTCGACATTTATGAGTGTTTCCTGTATTAATTATGAATTAGTATTCCTCATGAATGTGTTCATAGGTAGAGCCCTTCACATAAAGTGAAAAGAACCAAACTTCGAGAAGGTCAAACCATACCCAGTTTTTATATGTAAACAGAAAAGGACTGGTCAGAATGGTAGTTTACTGTTGTCTTTTTTTTGTATATTGTAAATATGAAATAAACGTAGACTAATTGGAGTCTGAGAGATAAGTCCAAACCCAAGTTGTTCTCCCAAACTTTCCGCTGTATAGCCTCCCTTCCAAATGCGGACACAAAAGAGGGTGTGTTTAAGGCCAGAAACGCTCTACGCAAGTACGCAAACGCTCGTCCAAAGTACACAAACGTGCATTCCTGCGATGGCGACTCGAGGAGACGATAGTTTCATTCATTTGTTTGTTCTAAACCAGGAAGCTAGCTATACATGTCGACTTTAACTCGCTAAACAAGACCTGAAACTCACCGAAAAAGGACACATTTATATACTTGCGTAGAATGTTTTGGGACCATTTCTGTGCCGGGAGAAAATAGTCGTGGTGTCGACTGAAAATCTGGGCTCCACGTGTGTCTATTTGTAACCCTCTTTTAAAGTTAACCTGTATTCAAACACACAAGAATGTCCCAGAAAAGTCTAACCCTCAAGACTAGATCCTAAAATCTAGATTTGAAAACGAACTGAATGTGTGTGGGTTATTTGATGAAGCATTTATTGACATTTTAGGTATTATGTACATTTTGTCATCTATTACAATGGTCACTAATATAATTGTTTAAATGTATAAATATGATAGAATAGAAAAAAAAATACAACTTGGGTTAACCCAAGAAGAAGTGAACTGTCAATATTGCCCCACTTGGTCATACTACTACACATGTTGCAGCACTGCAGGCTGGATGTCTCCGGGAATCAAAAGGATGGGTCACATGTGAAATAGCCATGGTTGCCTAGATGAAATGTTCGTGGCAAAGTAGTCAATGTTTTGTTGAATGTTCACTAAAAGAAATGCAGAGTGTTTGCTACTCTCTAGTCAGTGTCATTGGCGGTCTGTGACTGCTGCTTTATTTTGTTGATCATTTCCCCTTGTTTTTGCGCTACCAAACCCATTTCAAAGAAAAAACTTTTTTTTTTTTTGTCTGTGGTTTTCTATTGTTTTTTTGTTTTGTCTTTTCCCCCCATTTTTCTTTTGTATTTTGAAAAAGAAATGACTTTGCCACAATGATTCATGGAATGGGAAATGGTATTTGCACTTGAAATTTGTTTATGCTCATGTAAAAATGTCTGGATTTTGTATTGTCTTTTTAAATGAAATTGGTGTTCTTAAAGTTGTCTATTTTGATTTCTTAATTCACAGGTACAGAAGAAAAAAAACACCAAAGGTAGATGAAAAGTAAACTATATTAAGCCAACTATAGCTAAACTTGTGCCTTCATTATTTCAGAATAATTTCATTCTTTTGGAGTTCAAATTAATACACAGGATATTTATTTTTAACCGTCACAAATAATATTTTGAGCAAACAACATTAAATAAGATATATATTGTGCATTTTTTCCCAGGGGGCTGTTCCATAAACCAAGATTAGAGTATAAACCAGGCTTATTTCGGTTAGTCAGGCTTATTTTTGGTAGATTCGGTTTCATAAATCAACCTTAAAAAAGTTCAAACTCAGTTACCCCGGCAACTACCGGGGCAGGCTAACTGTCAGGGTAAGGCCCTGTTTACACGAGAACGCTCGCGGGTGAAAAATATTTTATTGGATGTGCCTTTCGTTTACACGGCGACAGCGTTTTTGAGGCTTAAAAACGCAAAAAAAAAGTGAAACCACCCTCCAGAATGGAATTTTTAAAAACGCTCCACCGCCGCGTTTCCGTGTAAACTGTAAACGGTAAAAAAGCAAAAGCCAGCTTGACAGTGAAGGTTGTACGCTGGCGCGTGGACTTGGTGTGGTTGTAGTATGCACTCCTAGCCGCCTGGAGTGCATACTACATTGAATTTCACACACGTTTGCGTCACCATTTGCACGCGGATTTCCCACACATAACGCGCGTCTAAACGCAAAATAAAAAGTGATAACGCAACGCCACTTTTGGGTTTTCTCTTCATAATCGTTTTCGTATAAACATAAGTCTGAGTTCAGGCTTAACGAGCATACCATTTATACTCACCGGAGGGTTGTTCCATAAAACAAGATTAGAAAATAAGCCAGGCTTATTTTGGTTAGTCAAACTTATTATCGGTTAATTCTGTTTCATAAAGCAAACTTAAAATAGTTCAAACTCAGTTACCCTGGAAACTTATGCTGGGAAACTAGCCTGGTCCGGGGCAGGCTAACTGTCAGGCTAAGTCTGAGTTCAGAGCATACCATTTATACTCACCTGCTGGTATTTCGATGTCATTTTATTTTACTTAAACACTATTAATAATTTTTTTTTTAGTAAATAAGGAAATGTACTTTACTATTACATGTAAGAAATTATAAGGTAAAAATACACTAAGAAATGTTCAAAACTTGTGTATTTAATTGGTGAGTTTGTTTAATGAGTTTGGTAATTAATGAATTAAAAGTATAAATAGGGAGCTGAACTCGTTTCCAAACTTAACCATGGCGTGTCCTTTCATATGAGGTGGTGGATGAGGGATAGTCTTGCGGAGGGCATTTCAAAAGACAGGTCAGACCCATTGGCATTAAATGACAGCTACCTGTATGAACTATATAGGTTCTCAAGAGATGGGATTGCATATATTTGTAGATTACCAAGCCCACACATATGCAAATAATTCCACTGGCCCCTCAACTTTCTCCTTAGTTGAACAAACACACAGAAGTCAAAGTATTTAATGTGATTTATCTTCATTCAAAGTGAATCTGCCTGTTAGGGTTGAAAACACAAATAAATGTTCTGAATGATCAAAAAGATAATGTTTTTTTTTTCTTTTCCTTAAAAAAAAAATGGTAGTTCTACTTGCATTTTTCTGTAGCTGTTGAATTTCCAGCTCTAACTTCCTCATCTTCAGTTTTTTTATACTGGATGTTGATATCAATTGGTTCCATTTATTTAAGGCGGTATCGTTTATACACTCCTTTTATGTTTTCTGGGTTCTGTAGCAACATAGATTTAAGTTATTTCATTGAATACTCTTGTAACATTGTTTTCATTTCTTAATACTCACTTTGTCACATGTGGTCCCAGACTGACAGGGCTCTAGAACAGTGTCAGCATCCTGAAAACACATTATGATCATTTTATCACACAAGTACACTTTTTAATATTCAATACATAGCATAGAACCTGTGAGTACCTCAGGCCTCCTTGAACATACAGACCCAGTCTCCTCATCCTCCTCAACTGATGGGCCTTCTCCCTGTGACCACTGATTAAACTCAGGTAAACTCATTAGCTTACATGACTGATTTAAAAGGTCTCATACATACGCACAGGCAACATGATGTCTGGTGGATCCATAAGAGTATTGATAGAAATATATTGAAGATATACAAGAGGTAAAACGATATAAATACTGTTCGTTTTCTCACACAAACCGCTTGTTTCGTGTCTTAGGCCATCAATGTGTACTTACATTTACGAGTCATTAAATCATGTTTAATTTTGACTTCTCTGTGCATGCTCTTTGGTGGACCCCCGACTGATAGACAACAACGGTTTGACTGAAAAATGTCAAAATTGAAAATAGGCCTACTGTGGAAACAAAGAGACCTACATCTTGGATGCCCTTGAGGTAAGCTAAAACATACCAAAAATTAATTTCAAAGTGAACTATGCCTTTAATATTAAACCCCCCTAAAACAAGTACAGTATTTTGATCTTGTTTTTCTCTCTAATTTATGTTTTTTTCTTACAGTAAATGTTCTATCTTTGTTAATTATGCAAACAAATATTAAGTGAATAACATAAAAGGTAAGCTGCTAAACAAGCACGCCATCCCAAATACCACCGATCGATGTCTGTCTGTCTTCTAAAGGGTGACATTTCACTCGGTCCGTCAGTTTAATGAGATCTTGATGCTAGAATAGAAGATGAAACTCTGTAATGAGTTGTAGTATTTTGGTTATTTAGAGTAACCACTAGGTGTCATTGTATTATAAGTGTTGTGTTTGATCTATGCTGGAGGTATGGTGTCTTGCAAACAAACTAAGTAAAGTATTGACTTGAATTTTATAAATGTATTTGTCCGCTTTCTACAAATATACTACATGAGTGGAGTTCATTAATTTGCTGCACATCTAACTATACAGATCTTGGAGATTATAACAACTTTTTTTGTTTGTTTGTTTTTTGTAATGCGTTTTGACTTTTTAAAAATCAAAGAGCTTAAAGGCACTTCTTTTTCTCCTTGTATGCATACTTTGGGAGTAAAAACGCTAATTTTGCCTCTCAATCAGAACTGAATAATCAATCAGTGTTTGATTATTCAGGTCTGGCTCGTGGCCACAGAACACGGAAGTAGCGTTCAGAAATACAAATGTATCGCCGATTGTTGGATTGTCAGCGGCCTTCTGATCACCTGTCCGTCTGCTGCTCATATTCACCAACAATGCGTGTCCCACAAGTGTCAAGGTGAGGATGACGATGATCTAACCTGTGTTTACAATGTGCTTAGCGTGTGTTTGATGATGACTCTGTGTGTGACTGCATCCTATGGAGGTCGTTTAACTTCTCTCTCTGTGTGTGAGCCATTTATTACACGATTTCTGGATTTGATTAGCTAGGGTGACCATATTTTGATTACCAAAAACCAAAACACTCGGACAACTCAAATGATACTCGAAGTTTACTCAAAGATACCTTATTAATTTCAATACATTTAAAGTAGGCTATGCCTCCTCTGTATGGATAGAAAATTGTTATATTGTTATATGAAAACAGGACAGTTGGTCACCCTAGATTAGCTAATATGAAACATTTATTTGATGTTATGATGATCTGTCTAGCTTTCCTTTTTCTGTGGATCACACTCTTGAGCCATATGTTGAGTGTGTCTCTTTCCTTCGCAGCTCTCCACAGATCCAGGCGCTGTTGACCAGTGCATCCTCAGGTTTAGAAGGCTTCAAAGCTCACGCTGTCTTCCAGGAGATCAATAAAAAGCTGCTCGAGGTACGGGAAAGCCTGCTTGGGTTCATTCATCTGAATTCGTCGAGGTAAATCCTCTTTACACCTCAGTGTCTCTGCCGGAGGACACATCAAGATGGATCTGAATTGGAGTTATTACCCAGCTTTAATCATGTCGTCAGTGATCCGCTGTCAGGCCTGCTTTTGATGTATAAGCTTTTTATTCAGACTACAAAGTTATTGGGTGGATCATTAAACCCAAATCCCTTGGTTGTATCTAGACGACGCTTTTCATGTCATTTCATTTGCAAGTCAGCACAGCATATGTGTCCACCCACACCACACACTACTGCTTTATACCTCAAATCAAGACCGCTCAGCCTCGTCACCTGGGTTTAGTTATTCAGTTATTCGTGCCCTGGATGTGCATCCCACAAATCTCCATCAACTGCAAGATGCTATCCTATCAATATTGGCCAACGTTTCTAAACAATGCTTTCAGCACCTTGTTGAATCAGAAATGGGGTCAAACACATGTATATATAAGTACGTTACACCAAGAGGCTATACCACAACAAAACAGATTCAATACAAGCATAAGAAAACGTCATTATGACCTTCTGAGCAACCCCAAAAAGTCTCTGTAAAAGTACATTTTCTGTTGCAACTTTCGACACAGATGTACATGCACCTCCAATGAAAGTTTGCACTGCAATTTTTTTTTTAACTTGCTGTATTAGTTTGGTTTCCAGTCCAAAAATCTAAAATATCTTAAATTAAGAGGAATTTTCTGAAAAATAAACAAATAATAATAAAAAAAATTGTTTGTGCTTAAAATTACCCCATTGGCAGATCGTTTTGCTTACTTTAAATTTGTTTGCTTTTAATTTGGGCCAGGGATCAATATCTTTTGTAATTTTATTACTTTAGTAAATGCATCATGATTTAAAAACATCTAGATATTTGCACTGGAAACAAGACAAAAATACTGAGTAAGAAAAATTTTTTTTTTTTTTTGCAGTATAAACCTAGGTATTTATACGAAGTAACTTGTCTAATGGGGTTATTGTTGCGAGACGCTAATAATCTCTTACTATCAGCCACGTTTCAGCTTCTTAGTTAAAACCTCTGCATTTTCCGATCATTTTCACTCCATTACTCTCTTCAATGCAGTGTGTAATTTTACGAGTACATTAATGTCTGGCTCTCCCCGGCTGAGTGAAGCGCTTTATGTAACGAGTGCCACATTTCACCGTTGTTTATCAGCTGTTTATGACTCTTCTTGTGTGTGTAAAAAGGCAAACGAGTGTAGGGTGGAAATGTTGTTTTATATGCAAAGCAAGTGATTTTATAATCTCTTCAATTTTAAAATCAAGTGTTTCAACCGATTTTATTTTTCCTGATCCTGCTGCTCCTTTTTGATGATCCTTTTGTGTTATAATATAAATATAATGGGTAATACTTTAGAAAAGGGGTGTGTGATATTGGAAAAAAAACTGATATTGCAATTATCATAGGGGGATTTTGTAGGGAAGTGAATTTGCATTGAAAATAAACAAATTACAAGCCTAGATAAGTACAATAGTGCTTTGTTTTTCACAGTATTCAGATACAGAAATTGAATATGTACATAAATGTAAAGGGCTGGATCTTAAAAATGTTGAGATTAACATCAACTAAGATTAATTAATGCTGTCGAAGTTTTGTTCTTATTTGGTACAACAAAATTTTACTGTAAAGTGTTCCCATATAACGCAAGTAGCTTAAAATAAAATTTACACATTCATTTTTGTTTGAGGGAAAGATATCTCTTCATCGTTTAAGTTTAGCTGCGGTTCACACAGTTTATGGTGGGTGTGCAACTGACGGCCTCTCTGGTGTGTGTGTGTGTGTGTGTGTGTGTGCAGGACGGAGAGCAGTTTGTGAAGAAGATTGGAGGTGTGTTTGCCTTCAAGGTGAAGGACGGGCCGGACGGAAAGGAAGCCGTCTGGATCGTTGATGTGAAGAACGGGAAAGGCTCTGTTGATAATGATGCCGGTGAGTGTGTTTCTCTGTTATTAAGGATGCGGATGATGCTACGAACATCTGTGAACAGCGGACCTCTCCTAGTTCGTTGGTGTCTCGGGCTGGACGTGACATTCTAGTTATTTACATGAAAGTATCTGTGGGTTGAAGGAGAGGTTTGTACTCTAAAAAATATTGGGCTGTTTTGACCCTTTTTTGCGCCAAATATGGACCAACTTAAACATTGGGTTAAATGTAATTTAAAAATATAACCATACAAATATAATATTTGTCCATATTTGACCCAGAATTGGGTTAAAACAACCCAACATTTTTTAGAGTGTGACATTTTCCCCAGTAGAAGATGCGTCTTTCTGAAAAACACACACACCAAAACGCACTCAAAATGAATAAATAAAAGTTAAAGATGCAGTGTGTAATGTTTAGAAGCATCTAGTGGTGAGGTTGTGAATTGCACCCAACAGAAGATGCGTTGGCCGACAGGAAATGATGTCGTCCTTTCAGCTGAGAGAAGCCAGTTCAGCAATGAGGTTTCTTTACAAAGATAAATTATGAAATTTGGTTTACTTAATTATTCAGTAAAACGATATTGTTACTTGTTCATCATTGTGTCAGTGTTTTATTCGCTGACTTATTTGCACAAAGAACAACATAGTGACGAAACGCGTGTGTCCGTTTAGGGCTCCTGTAGAAACACGACAGCGCATTTCAGTATAAGTGGACCCGTGGTGTGTGTGTAGATAGAAATGGCTCATTCTAAGGTAGCTAATAAAAACATAACGGTTCATTATGTAAGGTCTTTATACACCACTGAAAATATAATTATGCGTATGATTTTGCATTTCTGGCAACAGAAATCCTAAATATTACACAATGCATCTTTATATAATACACTTACATCACAGTAGTCGTACACTAAGTGGCAGTGTAAGACTGAACAAGTTTTAGGGCAGAGGGATATGATGATATTTGACAATGATATAAGTGATCATCCATCTACCTACAGTATGTTGTATTTAAAGTGTTGTTTAGCACTATAACCTGATTCCTGGCCTTATTAGATAAGTATTAAGGATCACTGTCAAGTTCAACTGCCTTTAATTTAAGAAGATAATCTTCTTTTTTACTCCCAGTGTCCTTAAATCCTGTCATGTTGCAGGATGCTTTGCCATTCAGTTCGGCTGAGTGAGTGTGTGAGAAAGTGACATCATTGCATACCCTATAATCACAGGTGTGTGTGTGTGTGTGCGTATCCACGGCCATGAGATTAGTGTGAAGGAAGAGAGTAAATGAAAGCAAGTGAGAGTGTGTGTTCGGTCTAATGACCAGGATTAAACCCACTCACACATGCCGGATTCTGATTCGTTGTGTATCGAGAGCTAAAGACATCATAACAGCAAGTGCTAAGCTGCATCGTCACTGTTTTTCACCTCTCACCCTGATAAATGCCCCAATATACTAAAATATTGTTGGTTTAACTTAAAAAATGAAGTAACCTGGTTGCCTTGAAATTTTAAGTTGATTGAAATGGAAAAAGTGAGTGATTGATTTAATCACCAGAAACTCAAAATAATAAGTTATCTGAACTAAATAAATTATTTAAGTTGATTTGACACAAGAAAAAAATGTTGTGATAATAAATCTTGAAATATTTTTTGACAGTGTAGCAAAGGTCTTTTTTTTGTACTTCACTGGAGTAAAAAGTTGTTAGAAATAGTTATACTGTTAGCAAACATCCCAATGCTGTCGGGAGCGAATATGTAAATACAGGTAAAACTCGAAAAATTCCAATAATCGTGCAAAAGTTAATTTATTTTAGTAATTCAACTTAAAATGTGAAACTAATATATTAAATGCAAAGTGAGACATTTCAAGCATTCATTTGTTATAATTTTGATGATTATGGCTTACAGATATTAAAACCTTTTCACAATCGAGATAGCCTCGTTAAAACCAGCCAATTCTCAGTTGTGACTGAGTTATGGTCTGGCAAAGCGTCATAGACAAATTATATCCAGAGGGGCGTCACCAACGGACGTCGCGGGTAGACCTAAAACCAATCAGAGCGCTGAAGGAGATGACGTATGCAGAGCGGCCAAGTGTTGTTTTTTGCTCGGTTTTTAACAAAAAGGAAACGTTCAAATCGCTTAAAACAGAGGCGATAGCTGATTCGAAGGAGTGATGTTCAACGGCGGGGTCCTTATTTGTGATGTAAGCTACAAAATCTGCTTCAAAATCCCAGCGCTGTCGTCATCGTGTAAAGCCCGCCCCAACGTTTCTGATTGGTGCCGCGATTTCAACGGATTGGAAATGGGCTTGAATGTACGGAGCCCCCCTAGTCCCACTTTGGCAAAAAAAATTTATTATAACTATCTCGTGGCCTCAAGATAGAGTTAGTATCTTGAGGCTAGAGCCAGGCCGATATATCGGCAGGCCGCTATTATCGGCCGATATTAGACATTTTCTAAAATATCGGTATCGGCAGTTATAATGGCCGATAAATGAATATTTCAAAAATAAAGATAAAAACGGATGAATCACGCTTCAACCATGTCATGAGGGTTGGAGTTGTATAGTTTGTCCACCAGAGGGCACTCTACACCGTCCCTGTTGGCACACATTCTGCAACCTGTTGATCCAGCCAGAGTCGGGCAGAGAGAACCTAGTTATGCATTATCATAATATTTTAGTTAAAACTCATAATTAACTACAAATAACTAAAGTTCTGTTAATATTTTGTTGCGCGTTTCTGAAATAAAATAAAAAAATACTAATAATATCGGCCGATATATCGGAATATCGGATTTTAAAACCAACAAATATTTGTATCGGTATCGGCCTTCAAAATCCTTTATCGGTCGGGCTCTACTTGAGGCCACGAGTTACTACCTTGAGGCCACAAGATAGTTATAATTAATTTTTTTTGCCAAAGTGGGACTAGGGGGGGGGCTCCGTATGAATGAGCTCTTTGCCAGACTAACTTCCAGAGCAAATCTAAATTTCCCGGAAGTTGTCCTGGTTTTCCCAGGCTACAATTGAGACACTTTAGCTTCACTTTTCAGGGCCAGAGCAACAAATAAACCAGAGCTGGTTTCCACATCAAAGAAGGCGGAGCCTCAGAGCCTCACTTATTACATAATAGTGTTTTCCAGCCGGAGCCAACTTTCCCTGAAAGCAGCTTCAAACCTCCGAAATGAACTTATTTTTGGCCTGATTTTGAAATAACGTCACTCCAGTTTGTTCTTCGATCTCATTTTAAGTATATTGTGATCTTCAATGTTCTCCTTTTGTGTTTCTCAGAAAAGAAAGCAGACTGCACTATTGCCATGGCCGACTCCGACCTGCTGGACCTCATGACTGGAAAGATGAATCCACAGACCGTAAGTCGAGATGAAGCAGAGCCAAATCGCTAACACAACCCTCAAGTCTGTTTCAGATCAAATCGACCGTCTATCCTACTTTTCAGTTACAAACTAGACTGTAAAAAAGATCTCCCCCGTTAAAAATACATTGACATCTACAAAACACGCTTAATTTATTTGAGGAATTGGGTCTTATTTTAAGCAAAAGTTTAACTTTTTATTGATGCTTTTCAATGAGAGAGTTACTAAACGACGGACAATACAGTATTTGTTTCAACATTAACAAAGAAGTCCATCTGAAATCAAACAAAAGCATTCCTTACTCTCGGAGTCAAATCTTTTGAGTTTTAAACAAGAATTCAATATATATTCTCTGAAAACTATTCTTCATATGTTGTGCAGTTTTGCTAAGGTGTTTAGTTATTTTTACTGATGCGCAAATCAGTTTTTCATTCATCTGAAGGTTTTTTTCTCAATTTTGCGGTCAAAGTTTGGGTTATTGAAACTTAATACCTCTATTCTTTAAGGATAACGATGCCAAAGGCAACGGTAAAGACATTTATTTATAATGAGACACAATGAGAAAAATGAATCGCAACTTCCACTAAAATATGAATCAGCACAACGGTTTTCAACTTTGATAATAATCAGAAATGTTTCTTGAGCATCAAATCCTCACATTAGAGTGATTTCTGAAGGATCATGTGACACTGAAGACTGGAGTAATGATGCTGAAAATACAACTTTGATCACAGTGATTTTAAATGGAAAGAATATTTCACAATATTACTGTATTTAGCCTATTTTAAAAACATTACAAAATCTGACTGACCCTACATTACATAATGGTAGTGTATGTCAAGTAAAGCAAGTTTGTGAATGTCATTATATCTTTATAATGTTATGAAGTTATAATGGCATTATGATATATTATATCTATAACTTTTAAGCATATAATATCCTGGAAAATAATATTTTGAAGCCTAGAATGGCTGTAAAAGCAGATCTCTGGCATTTCCAAGTGGTTTGTATGGTTATAATTATGATTTTGGCTGATCTCAGTTTGGATTTACCACAGAGACTCATCCCACATACCCAGTGTTTTTCTTTCTTTGACACTGTCTTGCGTAGGTTTGCATAAGAGCTGCACCTGCATGTGCCGGTGAATTCGAATCAGTATTGCAATTCACTATTGAATGAAGATTTTGTCTTTTCACGGAGCATTTAAAAGCACAGTTTTGTGTAGCCTCCCACCCTTCTTTTGTGCATTGTCTCAAACCCGCCCGCCAACTGTTTTCCATGAACGATTTCTCCACAGATGCTCAAAAACACTCGCTCTCCTTTTCTAATGCTAGTGGCCTGTGTTTAGAGAGATAATGTCTGGATCAGAATGAGTTTCTTTCCATGCCTCCAAGTTTCCACGCTTCCTTTAATCAAAGCTGGAAAAGCCACAGATGGGGCGAAATACATTTTTGACCCATTACAAACCATTTAACCTGCCGGTGCTCAACTGGTTCAGTTTCCAAGTTCACTATTTTTATTTATTTAATTTTTTTTAGCAGGAGACACATTTTAAATGCTCAATGTTTGGATTTTTTTTTTTATATAGATATTTGTGATTTTAAAATATTGTAGAGTTTACTGCATTCGTGATTATCAACCTACTTCCTAAGTTATTCTAAGAAAATAAACAAAATCTCAAATTTTTAGAAAATATAAGTAAACAACTATACACAATGAAAACTAAACTTTGAAAAGTGCCATTATTCTCGCATTCAAGTCTCAGCCTTTTTTCTTCTTCAGTTTTTTCATTTAAATTTGAACGTTTCCCGCAGAATTCCGTTGATAGAATGTTCAGCGTTCAAACTCTAACAGACAGTGATGACATTATTGTAACGTTTGTATGAGATGTATATTATTTATTTTGAGGGCTGAATGGTAACTGGTCTTCTGTCTTGAATTTGTTTGCATATTTTTTAATGCTATTGAAAAACAAAATCAGTGCCTTTATTGTAAAAGAAAATAACGTTCTGCGTTGAAAGCTTACTTACATTTTCCTGAAATGCTTTTACAAGAAGCAATTTGAATGTCAACAGATACAAATGATAATTTCAAAATCACTGTTGTTCAATAAACAACCTCCCATTTAGGGGAAAAAAAAAAAAAAAAAAAAAAAAGCCCTGGATGTTGTTTTTAAGAGACAAAACCTTTTGTATTTAAAGCCACAGAAAAATCCTCTAGGACCACAAATGTATTGCTGTGTCTCAGGAGGTTAAGATCTTCAAAATCAATTTTAATCACGGTTTCATGTCCTCTCGTTCATGCAGGCGTTCTTTCAAGGCAAACTAAAGATCACTGGAAACATGGGAATGGCCATGAAGCTTCAAAATCTGCAGTTGCAGGCAGGCAAAGCCAAACTGTAAGAGGCGGAGCCAAGGGAGGTGAGGGCGGGGCCTTGAGTAGCTCCTCCCACTGAGTTCACTCTATCAGAGTAGCAGCACAGGAGTCTGAGACCGGATGTGTTTCTTTCTGCGCTGTAGTGGTCAGCCTCTTTCTAACCAGGGATAGTGATAGTTCACCCAGAAATGAAATGGTCATCGTTTACTCGCCGTCGCTTTCTAGAAGTTTCCCATAAAAGTTACTTCTCATGTTGCAAAAAATGATTTTCTTCCTCAGTATTTTTTTTTCTTGTTTTCCAGTACAAATATCCAAACTTTTTTAAACCATGATACATTTACTCGAAAAGCATTATTAGTCAGAAAGCAAGACTTGAACACAATTTAAAGGAAAAACAAGATCATTCTGAAAACATTTTCTTGTTTTAAGCTGTAAGTCACTTAGTTTTTATACGTTTTTCAGAAAATAAAACATTGTTAGCTATTTGTACTGGGAAACAAGAGAGTGTAGTCTTCTGGAGACTACAACAATGAACTTTATACAGTCATATGGTTTTTAAGAAGGTGAGTGAATGATGCCAGAAATCTTATTTTTGGGTGAATTATTGGTAACGCTTCCTTTTACAGTACAGTACTTACCTAGACAGTACTGGCTAATATAAGGCAAGTACATGGAACAGGGGTAGGTTCAGGGTTAATACTAGTTATTACCCAGTAATTGTAGTTACTAAAATAAGTATATAGTATTCACATGGGTAAGTGGACTGTAAAAGGAAGCGTTACCGAATTATTTAATGATGAATCTCTAATAGATACTGATAAGTACTATGGAATTAATACTGTCCTAATAAGATCGATTTGATAACTTTGATATGGTTTTCCTTTGTTTGGCATCCTGTTTCAACTATGTATGTGTTTGTGTGGATCGATTTCCCCAATGTTGATAAAACAGACTAATTATACAGACTAATGTCCATCAAATCAGTGTATGGGTATATATTTTAATGTATCCTTCAGTTATTATTGGAGCTTCATTTCATGTGTCTCTCTCATGGACATCGCTGAATCCTGCACATCAGATGCTAAAATACTTTTGTACTAAATAAACTTAATCTTTCTCATGAAAATGGGTACTGTCTGTTTTCACGTTCTCTGTAGATGGATGATCTTCTGTATGATGATAAGAGGAGAAAAGCCTTCAGTATATTAACATATTAATACACAGTATATTATAGCCTTCTATATTAATTGTAGAACCTCAATAAACAGGTTATTTCAAGAGGATTTAGTCAGTAATACGTGTAATTTGAGTTACAAGGTTGATAAGGGAAGGGGGAGGTGACAACCGGCCAATGTTAAATGTAAGTTACTGTAATAATAAAATAAACAAACAACAAAACGAAAGTAAAGTGGCAGCCCCTCATGGACGACTGCCACACATAAACAGACCTGGTCCTCTCTCTTCCTTCACTGTCATCACTCCTTTTATCCTTCAGGAGTTCCTCCGTGGGACTCGGGGCCGGTGTGGTTCATCGGAGGTGTCCAAGACCCCATGACTTTTGTCGCACTTGAACCATGAATATACAAAAAACATTGAGTGGATTGGAGGAGTTTTGTGGTTGAAATTTAAAAAAGTAACAAATATTTCCCTCTCGGGTCAATTTGACCCCTATATAATTGTTTGATATAATTGATTGTTAAAAGCCCTTCTAGGAACTGGTGTTGCGAATTAGCCTTGGCTATAAACACTATGATACAGGCATCGGATTGTTCTTTATGTAATAATCTATGTTTTTTTTTGTATCTGTCCCTATACAAATAAACAGTAAATAAATAAAATAAATGAATGGAATGCTTCAGTACACACAGAAAAATCTTAAAAATGCTCAAAATTCAAACTATAAAATATTTTTTGGAAAAGTTGTATTATTTTTAATGTCTACATTATTACCTGAATGCATACTGAAGAGAATTGACTTTAGGACCCAGTGAAACAGCTCATTTGCCCCAAATAGAGCTATAAGGCCATCTAGGGGCAAGAGTCATCAAATATGTTGCTTTTCCCCACACGAGGTCAGCAAAGACACCCAATGTAAGATGTTTCGAGCTGAATTAAAAGGTTAAGGCATGAAATTGTGGGTTATTTTTAATTCAAGTTGAAAGAATTCGAGGAATGTGCTTAAAAGTACTATTTATTGCTTAAATCTAGAAATTTAAAGGTAAAAAAATTACCAAAAATTGCATGAAAAAATATCAAAATTAAATAAAATAAGGTTTCTGGACAAAAAAATAGAGCGAAGTATAATTTTAGGGCTTTGGGGGAAGGATGAGGGTTAATTATTAATGCTTCCCACTTAATTTAGCAACATAAACCACCGCCTTTTCTTTTTGTTGTGTGCTCTGATCATGTTGAAGCTTGTTTGCCTGTAAATCATTCTCTTGCTCTTCATCTCTTCTTGTGAGATGTGTGTGTTCCAGCTCTCAGAAGTTTCCACTGGCCGGTGTCCAGTCTGCCACGCTTTTGTTTTTCCTTTGAAAACTTCAGCTGAAACACTAAATCCCTGAAACTTTGAACGACCTCTGACCTACATTCCACATCTGAGACCTTTTCTCTTCCCTCACAAACCTTTATTTCTTCCAGATCTGTATCTGTATACTGTATTGATAGTATACTGTATTATTATTATTAGGGAGGTTTGCATTGCAGCTGAAAGGACCCTTTTCACATTTCCAGGGTTCCCAGAAGTGGAAGTCATCATAGTTGGGTAAACTTCTATAGCAGAGAATAGGGAACGGCAGCTAATAAATGGCGATAGCGAAAGAAAAGGAATCCCTGATAGTCTCCACAACTTTCCAAAAGCAGGAACATCTAGAGAAATTGATTACGTTGGTCAGAAGAGATGGAGAGATCACTCCCTCAGCTGTTGGATGAAAAGGCAAATAGCTGCAGAATTCGTGTTTTTGTAATATATAGCATTATAAATGTGTATAAAATGTTTTAAAAATGAAAACTTTACAAGATTTGCAATGTTGATAAATGTGGAAACACCAGTCAGTGTGTGAAAGTGTTTCTGTGCCACTATAGCACAAAGCAAATTTGCATTTTGCAGAAATTCAATCATGTTTCCTGAATATTTGATCAGGCAAACAAAGCGGATGCTGTCGATCATAAACATATGCACAACAGATTAGAGACTGATTGTATTTTTGTGATCTAATTCCTGATTATAGTGAAACCTGTATACATGAAAACACACGTGGAATAGAACTAACTGAGATTCTTACTATTACAGATATATGTTATTTTTCTCTGGTTTTATAAGTAATGCACAGGAATAGCCGCTGTTGAAGCATCTAATGAAGCGTCCTAGAGCTTTTGACGTGAATTGCCTGTTAAGAGCCCTACTGCGTTTCTCTGTAGGCGTTTTTTAAATCCCACGTTTCTCAGCGTCCTTCGCCGTATAATTGTTTCCTCTTTTTCTCCTGAGAGCTGAATTCAAAGCATCAAATGCACATTTGATGAACTCAACGCACCTATTGGTGCTTAAATCATGTCCAAGAAGGGAAATGGCGTTTCAGTGTGTGTTTAATGTGCTGTAGGTCTGAGGAGTGTTTCCTGGTCAGGCTGACTTCGTTTTTTTCGAGTTTTTTCAGGAAATACATTTCTAGGCCATCAGTTTTATTATCTGTTTCCGCAGATCGGCCACCAGACAGAGGAATAAAAAGAGTTTTATTAATCCGACCTGAGCAGATGTTTGGCTCACAAAACACTTTCTGTGTTTAACTACTTTCTTCTATCTTAGTTTAATATACAGAGACTGAAATTTTGAGGCATTGTTTTTGCAATTTCGTGTGATAATGTGGCACAGAAACACACTTCAGCTTTAAGGATCATTGAGATATTTACACATTAAGCTTATTATTTTCTGCATTGTAGAGACACTTTCAGATAGATACAGCTTTTATTTTGTAAACCAACCCGGAAGTTACCATCACTCTGTGTCCGTCAACAAAACCCCAGTGATTCTTAAATCTTATATGTTTTGTTCATCATGATAACAACATTTATGAATTTTGAAGTAGTAAAAAGCTAAACATATGCTGTAAATGAACTACACTGCAGTCACATGACTTCAATGTCGCCACCAATGAGCTTCAACAACTCTTTCAGTCTTTATTTTAAAACATTTTCCCTCAACGTTTGAGTTATAATAATTTGCAAGTGTCCGATTATAAACATCACGAGTCTGTGAAAGTGAGTAGATTATGTTTAGTCCCATTTAAAACTGGTTAGCAAACACGTTTTCTAGACCAGTAATATCACAAGTGGGTTTTGCTGAAGTATTTTGTGTCATATAAATAATAAGACGTGAAAATATCTTGCGGTGAACTTTGGGTGAACTGTCACTTTAACAAACAACAGGTTTCGGGGTTTTGTTTTTATGCGTCATATCTGACGATAGTTCTGGCGTCATATTTCATGTTTATAGTCAAACATTTTAGATTGTAAATTCATCTTTAATATGCGAGTCTCAGTGAGATCTGCAGGATGAATGCAACTGTGTTCATTTGGTTCAAAGACAAACGTGTCTAGACTGGATAGAGCGGGTTAAGCGAGTATGTTTGCAGGTTTCATCATTGAATTCATAAGAGATTTCATGTGTTCTGGGTGTTGAAGGTGAGTCTGACTCACTTTAACATGAATGTGTCAAAACAGGATATGCAATGCAATTAATTAATGATGTCTGGATTGCAATACCTGTGTAATGTGTGAAGAAGCTTCATCCAATTATTCCCATTTGACTGTCAGACATTCACGAGACAGGAAACCATAACGAAGTTTCATCAGTGCAATTATTTCAGCAATTTCTTTGTTGGTGTATGTTAGAAAAAGGGTGTATTTGCATCAGGTATTCATTATTGGTTCTTTTTTACTATGTTAACTTTATGAACTATCCCAGAAACAAACAAAAATAGTCATGTATACTCGTCTAAAAGATTATTAGGACCACCTGTTCAATTTCTCATTAATGCAATTATCTAATCAACCAATCACATGGCAGTTGCACACCTGTGCAATAATTATGCTGTCTAATCAGTATATTGATATGCAAAGGAGAAGTGCTCACTAACACAGATTGAGACAAATAAAAGTGTTGCGTAATTTTGTTCAGTGTAGTATACAATGCAGTTGTTTTACTTATAAAAGAGTTAGAGCACAGGTAAAATGTGAGTGTTTTTTGTCTCTCTGTATAAGTGCCTTAGTTTTTCAGGTTGTGGTTAAGTGCTTGTAGAAGATATCTTTGCCTTTTCATCCAGCAAAACTCAGAACATTAGACTTAAAGAAAGCAGTGACCCTACTGACCCTAATCCCCATTGTCTAGTTTTATAGCAATTAAGAAACTTCAGTGCATTCAAAAGGTCTGCAAGCGCTGCAGTGTTGAGTTAATGACTGTGAAATGTGTTTGTCCTTGTGTGCTTGTGAATTCTGCTTCTGCTCACTTTGTCTTTCTGTCTATCCAGTTCAGTTTTCCAAGGATAAAAAAAGTGCTTTCTTCCTATTAAAAACTTAAAAACTCTGCATAATGATGCAGCTTTTGTACATTAATACATCGTGTAGATTCCACTGAATGCAGCCTTAGTTTGACGCTTTATCCACTCCCTTCATCTCCACATCCACTTCAATAAATCCACAGAACAACTCGGGATGAGTATCTTCGTTTACTTGGTAATCAACAAAAAACATCAGCATAGGAAAATTACAAAATAATAAAAACGATTACTTAAAAAGAAAGAAAGATAAAGGTCAAAAAACTGTGTGGCTCCACTGTATGCCCGACTGTTTCCGTCGAATACTTCCTCCTGACTAACGTCATCATGAATTCACGCGAGAGTATTCCCAGCGCGTATAGGTGAATCCATACACACACATTTTAGATAATTAAACAATTAACTCTGTAAATATCTGTAAATATTAACTTAAATTTTCTCCACATGAAATAAATCATACAAATTACTGTTTAACACATAATTAAACTATTTATCAAATAACTGAATTTAGGCTCCTACACATCGGATACATAATACTTAGGTCAACAAATTAAAATGAGCCCTGTACAATTTTTAACACCTTGAAAAAGTTCAGTAGCTGGCTGCCATACACTTTTTAAATATAATCAAATTGGCTGCACTGTCCTTCTTCCAAAAATTGTGTTTTTGTGTTTAAGCATATTGTAAGTGTTTATATTTTAGACCTTTCGGGATGGTTTTCGTAGTAAATTGCATACATGCGTCACTCGCCTGTGTGTCTCGTCAGATCCGTAAAAACAGAGGAAAATTGCTCAGGCTGCTTTGCTGCGTGTCCGGTGTGTACATGTGTGTGTGTGGCAAGGGTTAGTGAAAGGTTGACATGGAGCAGTTAAATCTCCAACCTCCGGAGAATCACCCGGAAGCACTGAACCGCAATGTAAAAAAAAAAAAAATCTAGCATTTCGAGATTAAATTCGCGAGATTAAATGGCAGATTTTTTTTATTAATTCATTTTTTTACAGATTAAAAAAAAAATTATTTTAATCTTGAAATTTTTCGAATTTAATCTCGAAATATTTCGACTTAAATATCCAAACATTTCGCCGTTAATCTCGAAATGCTAGATTTAAAAAAAAAAATTACAGTTTCTTTCTTTTTTTTAAGGTTGCGGTTTAGGGCTTCCGTACGTTTTAACCTAACGCCGAACAGAGGAGAGTCTGCTGGAGAAAGAGAACGAGACAGAGCTCGTAATAAAACAAGAACCAACATCGGCTTGGCTTTTCAATGATGACGAGAACTGAAGGATTTGAAATGTTGTAAAAGCGACTCAGAGATGATGGTGTTTTCATTACTCATAATTTAACAGAACAGGAAGACAATACAATGCTGAATAAAGTCGTAGTTTTTGTATTTTCGATGCTTCAAAACTTTGTAACTAACCCACTGATGTCACATAAACTACTTTGATGATGTCTTTATTTCCTTTCTGGACAAGGACAGTATACCGTACGCACATTTCCAATGGAGGAACAGAAAACTCTCGGACTAAATCTAAAATATTTGAAACCGTGTCCTGAAGATGAACGGAGGTCTTACGGGCTTGGACCGACATGAGGGTGAGTCATTAATGACATAATTTTCATTTTTGGGTGAACTAACCCTTTAAGTACCCTTTCGATAAAATCTAATTTCGTGGGAAAGAAGGGCGTATGGTCTAAGAACAACACCAGGGTGAGTAAATTTAAAGTGAACTGCCCCTTTAAGGCATTCAAACATTTGATTGGACAAAAATCTATGAAGTGCAACATGAACAATTTTGACTTATTTTCCAGAATAGATATTTTAAAATGCATACATCTGCTGAAAGTAAATGTTCACAGATGCACTTTTAAGACTACATTCAAGTAGACATAGACGAAATGGCACAGAAGTTGTATTTTGTTTAATGCACATATTATAGTGAATTAACAGTCCGAAGGGAATTAACACATGCAAATGAGCATAAATGATGCAGTTCAAACCCGAGAGACAAATAAAAAACACATGTTCCTCTGGCCTGACCTATTTGTCTCATAACGGCTCGGGAACTTTTATGATGTGAATGACAAACTTATAATATTGTTTATATCTTAAAGTGAGAACAGTTCTACTCACTGTATGCACAAATATGTTTCCAAGAGGATGAAATCCACACCAGCCTCATAAATCAACTACAATCATGGAAAAGTTGTTTTCAAGAGGAACAGAAGACGTTAATTTTTGGCAACACCACTTATTCCTCTTTCCTCTTCTGCGTTCTCTCCCTTTCTGGCTCTTCACACATCTGGAAGGTACAACGGGCGACCGCGTCTCTCCAGCGCTGCTGATTTCATGAGTTTGGGCTGTTTTAGGAAGCTTTGACACGCTGGACTTTTGCTTTGACTTTGTTTGGATACTTTCAGGGAACTGAGGTATGAATCTATGCTTTCTGAATATGCATATATGCTTGTTTTTCCTCCTGATCCATTGAGTTTTCCCAGAGCATGAACTGGTTCCAGCTGTTTTTGATGTCGAACAGGTGTTATCTTGGTGTCATGTGTTTTTCATACTACTGTGTGTGCTTTATAGTATCTGACCCGTGAGTTACAGTTAGTGTTACGTAACAGTAAACTTTACGGAAAATGTGAAAAGAATGTCTGTTTTTCTTCCTGCATTAATATGGGGCTTTTATTGTTTGAGAAAGGAGTTGAGCATTAAAAAGTTCCCTTTTTAACCTAATAGAAGCTTTTCTTTGATAATTATCAGCATATTTGAGTGAATTTGAGAACATTTTAGTATTTGGTGTCTCTTTGGCTTTAATAACAGAAAACCTGATGGTCATGTTCTCCACACTCTTGGAAAAAAAGGTTCAATGGGATTGTAAATAGAAACCTATATGGGTTTTTTTAGGGCTGTCAAACGATTAATCGTGATTCATCGCATCCAAAATAAAAGTTTGTGTTTGAATAATATATGTGGGTGCACTGTGTATAATTATTTTGTGTGTATTATATATATATATATATATATAATATTATTATATATTTAATATATAAAAAATATTATTTATATATATAATATTAATTATATAGAAATCTGTACACAGTATATACATGAAAATATTTCTTAAATATATACAAGCATGTTTGTGTATTTATATATAGAAAATAATTATACAAATTGCACCCACATATATTATTAACACAAACTTTAATTTTGGATGCGATTAATCGTTTGACAGCCCTAGTTTTTTTTATTCAATTTTAAAGAACCCTTTATGCCATAAACTCTATCAATGGAGAAATGTCTTAAATATTGTCATGTTTAACAGGTTATTTTGAAATGTTTTCTAGTGATAATGCTGTTTAAGGCATACAATTAAATCACTAGAAGTCGTACTATTAAATTTAAAACTAAATAAATGAAAACTAAATCCATAAAATGGATGGGAACCTGTGGTGGAAAAAAAACAGAATTTTTTTTTTCCTTCGCGTTTTTTTTGTGTACTGACGGCAACTTTGTCAAATCGATGCCCGTTCACACTAATCTGCGAAAACGACTAAAAATGCTGTTTTCTGCTGCCAGGCCAGTAGGTGGCGATGTCACATTGTAAAGAAACCATAGACAGTAAAATAAATGGACACAGCGACCCCAGTGATTTCAGCGAAGAAGACCGAAGCCCGATTATTGCACTTCCTGTCTGATGTCTGAGCGACTGCAGGTTCAAACTGAGCGTGACGTCAGTCTGACAGTTGTAAATCTTCTAGTAGCTGTGGCAAAACAAATCTGAATCACCTAATTCCTCAAAAACGTTGAAATATTTTGTCCCGTTGCTTTTATGGACTCTCCCTTGACTTTGTGCCTCCATGTCCCCCCGATTGCCTCATAGACAGGAAAAGATTGCCTGTGAGCTTCTCCTCCTGCCTATACGGTAATGTCTCTATTGTGCGGTAATGACGCAATCTTTAGCCTATTTACAAAGTAATGGAGCCTTTTATACATTGTTGTGTTTTTTAGACATAATTAATGGACAAATTAAGTCTTTGGCGCCTCAGATGTAAAGTTATTCGCTGTCAAAGTGACGCCAAATTGAATGGGAGTCAATGGGATGCTAACAGCAGGTGAAGTTCTGCCACAATGGCGGCTCCCGCGAGGCTTCAACTTCCGGCTGACTGATTACCCCCTTGAAAGAAACACCATTGACTGGGGCATGACGTCACGTTTTCACAAATTTGCGTTTTTGTGGTTTACATGGAAACAAAAACGTGCACTTTGAAACCAGTAAGAGTTTGCGCTTTTAGATCCCCAGAACTCTTATATCGTGTAAATGAACAGGCTCAAAAAGCTTTCCGTTTTTAGTTGAAACTGTGCGTTTAAACGATTCGATGTGATCTAAAGCGTGTCAATGGAAGCATGTGATCAATGGCAGTGTTGAATTAAGTATTTGGTAGTCTTTGGTTTCGATTATTGTGGTCTGGAACTTTTGGACCTCGCTGTATATAAATTAGCCGGTGAAAGGGATATTTGGGATGCTGGACATGCCAGGACATGTTCCTGGATCAACATCCTTGTTGATACTGGAGTAATTCCTGTCAGATTATGAGTTCATGGTTAAGGGTTGACCAGTATTCATTTCCCTTGAATCCTTTAGTTAATGTTGCGGTTGGGGTTACAACTATGTTTGTTTGACTAGGATTTTGTAAACACAATATGACCTACTTAGCAAAATGAGATTCGTTTGAGATGGGTTTGTTTGAAATTTTTGTGAACTATCCCTGTAATAAATACTAACTGTTTCTCAGTGCACTGGTTATTAGACTTGTCTTGGTTACACTTTATTTTAATGTGTATTTAAGTACTGAGTAATATAAAGCAACTACATGTACTAACTATAGGTTTAGGGTAGGATTAGGGTTTGGTTGCCTGTAATTATGCATAGTTTACTGTTTTTACGGTAAGTTATTACAAGGACACTGTAAAACAAAGTCTTCCCTCCCGCTCCTCCAACTCTCACGGCGATGTGAACCGTGTTTATGTTAGACACCTGTTTGAGATTGTTGGAGCTCATTCCAGAATTTCTTTCCCAGTTCTTTTTCCCTCCAGTTCTTTAAACGAGACTTCGGTTGTGGAATGTTGGGGTTTGTATGAACACGTTGGAGAAAACTGCTCTCAGATCAGGGCTCACACGGTCAATGAATCCACGACCTGTATTTATTTACTGAGGCGAAATAAATTACATTGGCATTTGAAGCGCCACAATAATTCTGGCTGTTTGCTAAAGATCAAATACTTAATTTAGAATAAATATATGAATAATAAATAGAAATCATAAATCACATAAATACTGTAAAAACTGTAGATATACAAATAAATATGGTTTTCTGAGATCTAAAAAAAGATTTAATAGGATTGAGGAAAAAATAATAAAAATCCATGCTATACTTTAATTTTGAGCTTATTTATTCTACCAGCAATCAATTTATGTTTAGTCTTGGATGAATCTGCTGTGAAATTTTTATCACAGACTTTGGTTTCTTGGCAAACCCGAGTGCAGTTTGATTACATTTGAACTTCCAAGAACCTTTTCTCAACATGAAACATTTGAGATGCAGCAGACATCAGCAAAAGTCCATTCATTTGTGAGAAATGACAAAAGATCATATTTGTGATTTTTTCTTACATTCTTTTGAGAGAACTTTTATTTTGTTTTATATATTTTATTCTGTGATTCCTGTGACGCTAGGGTTTGGTTAAAAATATTGATTTCCTCTTATTTTGAAATTATGAATAACTCTTTTTTTTTTCCATTTCAGATTGTAAAGGCATTTATTTTTAATAAATATGAAGAAAATAAGTAATCAAGTGCCTGTGCCTTACAGTTATGTATTAATAAAGTGTTTATTTATCTGGTATAGGGCTGTAATTGTCCCAATAAGGGGATCCTTTATTTATAATTTACACCCTCAATATGTTATTATTAAATAAAATACTGAGATGCAAATGGTATCTATTTACCCTTATTCCAAATAGGCACTTTTTGTAACACTTAGGTCCTGTTGATGTGATTTGGTCGATCAGATGACAAGTGAACGACGCTAAATACAGGTGTAAACGGATCCATTATTTATCGGCTATAATATATCGGCCAAATTTTAATATCAGGCTGATAAGGATAACATTAAAAATGAATATATATTGGCCAATGTCGATATATCTTGCGTGCATCCCTAATCGACTCGAATGGAATTTGAATCGAATCTTAAGCTGGTGAATCGGAATCGAATCGTGACATTTCTGTCCAGCTAAACTATAAAATGAAGGAAATATCTCTAGTAAAAGTCAAATCCATTTGCCTTTTCAATCTCAGGTTTCTTTTGGTGCCCCGAGGTCCAGATCTGGTTTGGTTCTGGCTGGATCGGTAAACGGGATCCAGAGTCGGGTTAAGGAGTTGTGTGGCCTGAGCGAGCGCACTGAGGCCCGGCAGTGATGGATCAGCGGCGCGGGCTGCTGGAGCTGATGTGTTTGGTTCTGCTGGGCTGGACTCTTCTTCGAGCTCAGGCGGAACCAGACGGAGACCCGGACGACGCCCACAGAAGAGTGGAGAATGTGGAGCAAAAGATGTCCTGTCCGGAGAACTGCAGCTGCACCGAGGAGGGGGCGGTGGACTGTAGCGGAGCGAGTCTTAATGAATTCCCACGACACGAGTTACTATCCGAACAGACACGCCAGCTCTCGCTGCAGGTGCGTGGGTCTGTTTACTGATCGCTTCCCCAGCACACTTTCCCTGACTGGGCCTATTGTGTTTCTTGTTCGCTTGCCTATAAAATCAGACGGAAATAATCAAATTTAAGCACCTGAAATGTTATTCGAATAGTTTACCCAAAAATTTAAATTAGCCTGTGATTGAGTCTATACTCACCCTGACAAGTCATCCGTGTAGGCTAAATGAAATTCTTCTTTCAGACTTTTAGTTAGTTTAGTCGATTAAATATTAAATAAGGATTTTTTTTCTACAGATATGCATCACTTCACTTCAGAAGGCCTTTATTAACCCGCCAGAGTCTTGTGGAGCACTTTTATCATGAATAAATGAACTTTTATCATGGATAGATGAACTTTTATCATGAATATATGCACTTTTATCATAAATAGATGCACTTTTATCATGAATAGATGAACTTTTATCATCAATAGATTAACTTTTATCATAAATAGATGCATTTTTATCCTGGATAGATGAACTTTTATCATAAATAGATGCACTTTTATCATGAATAAATGCAATTTTATCATGGATAGATAAACTTTTATCATGAATGCACTTTTATGGACTTTCAAATACCATTCATAGCCATTCACTTTCTTTATCAATCTTGGAAGAGCCATGATATATATTTTTATTTTAAATATATCTCAGATTGTATTTGTCGGAAAGATGAATGTCACATACACAGGATGACTTGAGTGTGAGTAAATCATGGGCTATTTTTCATTTTTGGGTGAACTGTCCCTTTAAGTAGGCTATAGAATTTTGGGAGGTCTAGTGTTTTCAAATGGACTCATTTATTCATAAATCAAAATAATTCAGTTTTTTTTTAAAGTCTATTTTGTTCACCAAGGCTGCATTTATTTGATGAAAATATAAACCGTTATATTATGAAATATTATTGTAATTCAAAATAACTGTTTTCTATGTGAATATATATGGTAAAATGTAATTTATTCCTGTGATCAAAGCTGAATTTTCAGCATCATTACTCCAGTCTTCAGTGTCACACAATCCTTCAGAAATCAATGCTAATTTGCTGCCGAAGAAACACTTCTATATTATCAGTGTTGAAAACCGTTGTGCTGCTTAATTTTTTTTTTTTTCGGGATTCTTTGATAGAATAGAAAGTTAAAAAGAACAGCATTTATTCAACTTTTGTAACATAATATAACAACATAAATGTCTTTACTGTAACTTTTGATAAATGTCATGCATTCTTGCTGAATAAATGTATCATTATCAATTCAATTCACATTTATTTGTATAGCGCTTTACACAATACACATTGTTTCAAAGCAGCTTTACGGAAAATGCATGTGCAATCTGCTGTCAGAGGTGACTGTGCATCACATAATCACAGCAAAATGACGAGTCACGACCTGAAGGGGGATGTTTTTTTAGTTAAAAGTAAAAAAAAAAAGAAAGTATCAGTCAGATCATAGAAGGCATGTAGTAGTGAAGTTTTGATGCAGAGGCTTTGTGTGTTTATAGGGTTAAATGCCATTTATTTTTCTGCTCTGTCCCAGAATAACCAAATCTCTGAGGTCACACTGGAGCATCTGTCTCGACTTCAGCTCTTGGAGACACTAAACTTACAGAACAACCGGCTCACGACACAAGGTACAGGGGGATGAGGGGGTCAGCGGAGGACAGCTGAAAACAGCACACGATAATCTGATACAGAGAGAGAGAGCAGGATGGAGGATGAAGAAGGGTGGTGCTGTGTTTGGATTCCTGCATGTGGGGTCAACATGAAGTGGAAAATGTTTTTATTTAAATAAATCAGCAGAAACATCAGATTATGTTTTTAAAAGAATAGTTTGGCCAAAATCACACTATTATTTAGGCCTTGCCCTCAAGTTGTTCAAACACACAGGCTAATATGAGCTAAAAAGCACCACAGATGATGCCAATATGACTTGTGTGTTCAATTCAAAGTATTTTGGAGCCATATATGATTGCTCTGTGTGAATAACAGGCTGAGTTGTTCAAGGTGTCATTGATGTCAAACACCAGTTTCTTAGTTGGGTTTGGAACGTCTAATACCGTAATGTCACACGTTTTCTATTTTAAGGAAATGCTATACTTTTGAACTTTCTGTTCATCAAATAATTTGGAAAAAAAGAAAGTATTATGGTTTTCACAGAAATGTGAAGTTGTTGTCAACATCGATAATAATGATTCTTTAGCATCAAAATTAGAGTGATTTCTGAAGGATCATGTGACACTGAAGACTGGAGGAATGATGATTAAAATTCAGGTTTGATCACAGGAATAAATTACACTTTGATATATTTGCACAAAGAAAACAATATATTTTAAATTGTAATCATATTTCACAATTTTGCTGATTGTACTGTGTTTTTGGTCAAATGCAGCGTTGGTGAGCAGAAAAGACTTGAAATCTTAATATTAAAAAAATCGAACTTAACATTAAAAAATTGAATTGTGTATGTGTGTGTATATATACACTGCTCAAAAAAATAAAGGGAACACTAAAATAACACATCATAGATTTGAATGAATGAAATACAGTAATCTTATTAAATACTTTTTTCTTGTTTTTACTTTTTAAGTGTTGTTTAAGTGTTCCCTTTGTTTTTTTGAGCAGTATATATATATATATATATATATGAAGAGTTCAGATGCAAAAGCCTCTAAGTGCCATTTGAAATTTTCTTCTAAAATGATCATTTTTATCAAGCTTGTATATTTAAGTTCAGTAATTTCACTTAAATGGCAATGAAGATGACCTATTAATTGTCATTTAAGTGAAATTACTGAACTTAAATATACAAGCTTGATAAAAATGATCATTTTAGAAGAAAATTTCAAATGGCATTTAGAGGCTTTTGCATCTGAACTCTTCATATATATATATATATATATATATATATATATATATATATATATATATATATATATATATATATATATATATATATATATATATATATATATAAATGCATACAAACATAATTAAAAACATGAAATGAAGGTATTTGAAACATGTCAAGAATAATGTGTGTGTGTGCAGGCCTTGACGATGAAGGTTTTCATATTCTGGAAAAGCTGAGTTATTTATACTTGGCAAATAATAAGGTGAGTCATCAATGTTAATTTTCAATCTCTCTCTCTCTCTCTCTCTCTCTCTCTCTCTCTCTCTCTCATCTCATAACTTAAAGGGATAGTTCACCCAAAAATAAAACTGTTGTCATCATTTACTCACCGTCATGTTCCAAACGTGTCTGAGTTTCTTTCCTCTGTTGAACACAAAAGATATTTTGAAGAATGTCAGGAGCCAGACAGTTGACAATGGCCATTTCTTTCTATGGAAGTCAATGTAAACCAGTCCCTCCAGAAAAACGCGATTATGCGATCGCTGAATTCAATGCAAAATCAGCCAAAGTCCGCATATTTATGCGGGGGCCGCATTTTTTCAAACACGCCGCACTTTCGCCGCATAAATTGCCGATTTCCGTGCAAAATATGCGGGGTTTGCATAATTTCATAATCCTCGCATTTTCGTTGCAAAAAAAGTCACATGTATCTTAGCAAAAAGTTGAAAAATGTTGCGTTTGCTTCACACAAGAGCAGCCATTTCCCCCTGTTTCCATGGGAACGTTATGAAGTGACGCAATTACGCGACGCCAGACAGACTCACAGAGGCGATTGACATCTCACAAATCGAACTCGTATTAACTCTCTGTCACACGTTCTACTGTCACATCGTTACTTAATAAACAACATAAGATAAAAGAATTAGCATCAAACAGAAATTAGGCACACATATAACACTGCAGAGAGTTCAACAGGGAGCGCGCAGCTCTTAAAAGGGCCACACCTTATTTACACTCGTTACAGTCTGAAATAAAACAAGACGAGAAATTAAATATTCCCAGCACTTTCCATGATGTAGTGCGCTTTCTTATCAAAGGAAGTAATAAGAAATGACTCTTACATTGGCCTAGTGAGAACAGGATGTTGGGGGAATCACTTTTTTTCTCTTTTTCATCAAACCGCAATTTTTGCAAGTTTCCTCAATTTTTGCAAATTCCTGCAATTTCATCGCATAAAATTGCATAAATATCCTGCATATTACATCGCATTTTTAAAGAAAACGGGCCGCGTAATCAATCAATTTTTGCCCGCAACAATCACAAAAAAAAAAGGACTGAATTATTATGGTAAATGTTATATATAAATCGTAAATTTTTTCACACATTTTTGGAAATTACCACCACAAAATCAGTCAATTTGATCGCAAAAATCACACAAAAAAATCGTGAAATCCTGGAGGGACTGGTAAACCGTAAACCGTTTGATTACTGACATTCTTTAAAATATCTTCTTCTGTGCTCAAGAGAAGAAAGAAACTCATACACCCAAATTTCACTTTGTTTATCTACTAATTTAGCCATTGCCACTGTCACAAGGCTCGAGTACATGCCTAAAATATGTGTGGTTGCGCCTCTTTTATGGTCCAGCAGGTGAAACTTGTGCGTCTGATCATCTATGATTTGAGTTCTCACATCTGGACAACATTTGCAAGTCAAGTTACGCACTTTATTCTCAAGGTTTTAGCATGTTGTGCTAAAAACCAAACCCGTGTTTCTGTTTTGCAGTGTTTATCATGTAATCAGATTTGCTGTGGCGTGATTTTAATTGCATCATTTTTGTTGGCAAGTGCACATAACATTCTCCATAGAAAAGCAGAGTTAGTCATGTTTGGACATAAAACCAGACCGAGTTTCGTTTAGAGGCCAGGGTTTTCAATCACGGCCCCTGAGAGTGACTCACTTTTTGTTTTCTGAGACCGAAGCCTTTGCTAGGTTGTTTGACGCTGGCTGGTGGGAACAGTTGGATGTTTATGTTGGTCATGAGGCAGTCTGTTGTCGTTCGGTTTGGTCACTGCTGTTTAGCTCCCACAATCCCTCGCTCCGTCAGTGGATTGTTCTTCTGCCAGCTGGTAACAGCGTGGTCTATGGACGTCCCGTGCCAGCTTTCCCTGTTAATCACCCAGCTGTGGGAGCTAAAGCGGTCCCGACGACCTCCAGAGTGGGTGCTGGACAGATTTGTAGCTGATGGACTTAAAAAAGGATAACAGGAAGAGAAAGAGATCCTATCCTACTGAGATTTTAGTGTAATCTCACTGCCGCGTTACAAAAGACACACCGACGAAAGCCAAAGCAAATGCTAGAAACATACGCGGCGATGTGAAGGTTTGCCGTCGGTCCCGTTGGATCTGTTATATGCATTCTTGCGGTACTGAGTCAGTGTTTTGAGTGATTGTGAAGAGCAGATAATCAGTGAGTTTGGCAGAGATTTGTGGGGTTTTCCAAATGTGGTCCGGGGACCTCCAGGGGACTGTCAAAAAAATCAAATAGATTAAAAATAAATCAATAAAAATCAGATTAAAATATAAAAAATATTATTACTGAATAGGTTAAAATACTTAAACACTATATTAAATTAAATAAATAAATAAATAGTACAGAACAGTACATATGGTGAGTAGAAAAATATATAATAGTGCAATTTAACAGCTAATTTTAGATTTATGATATGCAATTTTTTTTCTATGTTTAAACTGAATGTTTTGTCTTTTAAATTGTAGGGTGTGGGTCCCTCACATGAGGATTCGTGGCATCTAATCTATTGAAAATATATATTTTACTGGCTTAAAATCTTTTTTTAGAGACGTTAGGCAAACTAGATATTCAATGTGTTTACTTTGCACGAAATAATTTACACTTTTTACTTGTACGTAATGTATGATGTCTACACACATTTTAACCAGTTTCTTTGTTGGTTTTCCCTCAACCATTCCCGGATATTTTTTCCCCCTCGGTCTATTAATGTGCAGCCGTTATTTTGAAAATGCATTAGGGGAACACTAGAAGGGCAGCATGAACTTTCCTCGCAATGCACATCTATCGTAGCTAGAGGTGTCATTCACAAACTTGCGTAAGGTTTTGGGCCTCAGATCTCTGAAAAGCATGTGAAGTCAAAGTACTATGCGCATAAATTAAATCTGGATATAAAAATATTAATGAAACACATCATTAAAGCTCATTGCCTATTTTTAATGGCCGTATATGACAAATAACACCAAGAATGGTGTGACCTTTGCAGTCTCTGAAACTCGTGAAGTTGGTCGTACGTCTTCAGCTCATTTCATGTCTCATTTCAATGTGTTGGCTTCACACTTTTCCATCTCTTTTTCAGTCCTCTTCAATCTCCGTTCACATGCTGGAGGCCTTTATCGCCTCACACTTCAGATCTTTTAGCGGCTCATGGTCCGTGACTTACTTCAGCACACATAACTGTGCTTTTTCATTGAGCGTAAAGTATTTCTCCTTGAGCATTTTAGAGTTGAATTGCAGCTGGTGTCAATGGAGATCAGTGTGTGCTTTCTCTTTGCGATGCATGGGTTCGATTCTGGTTAGTGGAGAATGGGGTTCACAAATGCTTTGCTGCATACCTCGGTTGTAACAATTTTTCCTTAAGAATCAGATCAGCATATTAAAGTGATTTCTGAAGGATCATGTGACACTGAAGACTGGAGTAATGAGGCAGAAAATTCAGCTTTGATCACAGGAATAAATTACATTTTAACATATAGTAACATAGAAAATGGTTATTTTAAATTGTAATAATATTTCACAATTTTAGAGTTTTTACTGCATTTTTTTTTTTTTTTATTTAATTTTTTACTTTAATGTCTCTGGTATCACTTAATGCTCTTTCTTCTGACATAATAAAAAAATTCTAATCATTCTTGTGTCCATTAATTTTTTATTTATTTGCTAACTAGCCCCTTCCGCTTAATGACTGTGTCAGTGTTCATTTTGCCGTAAGGATCCGACTTGTTTTGATGTGATGCTTTAAACGTGTTCACAGCTCACCGCAGCTCCCAGACACCTCCCTCCCTCTTTGGTCAGCGCTGACTTCGCTGCAAACCAGCTCACTAAAATCTACCCCAACACATTTGGCCAGAAGCCCGCTCTGAAGTAAGCCCGAAATGCTCTTTTCACTTGCATTATGTGTTGCTTTTTGAGTGTTAATAACGGTGTGTGTGCTTTGCTTCAGGTCAGTGTATCTCCATAACAACAAGCTAACGGATGCCGGCCTGCCAGAGAAGATGTTTAATGGATCAGACAACCTCGAAATCCTCATTATGTCTAGTAATTTTCTTCGTTATGTCCCTAAAAGTCTGCCCACCGCCCTCTACCGCCTACATCTGAAGGTAAAACCAACTGCGTATCTCATTAAATGAAGACTTCACAAAAAAAAAAAACAAGCGTTCAGCAATCGAGTGTTTACTCGCACTCAGGTTGTTCTGAACCACTTTCAGTCCACATCACTGAGATACATAATGGCATAATTGCCTCAGTGCACATCTCTGAATCAAAAAATCCATTGTTTATATAATCATTTGTCTTGTTTCTATGCAGAACAACAAGCTGGAGAAGATTCCCGCAGGTGCTTTCGATAATTTGTCTCATCTTCGAGAACTTTACCTGCAAAACAACTTCTTGAGTAACGATGGCGTGGACAACGAGACCTTCAGGTCAGCATGACTGAATAAACCAAGAAAAAGCATAATTTACCCACTCCCACTCTTTCTTCTGCACGGCTCTCTTCTTCTTCATCTTGTACAAACTCTACCCTGAGCTGTAACTGATGGAAAATATGCTGCCTTCTCTCATCAGTCACTTGAACAGTTTGGAATATCTGGATTTGTCCAATAACAACTTGACCACGGTTCCTCTCGGGCTGCCCCGCAACATCGTCCTGCTTCACCTGGAGAAGAATTACATCCAGAGCATCGCAGTCAACGCTCTGACGCCCATCCGAAACTTGGAGTACCTGCTCCTCCACAACAACCACCTCCGCTCTCGCTCCATCCATCCGTCCGCCTTCCAGGGCCTCAAACGTCTCCACACCGTCCACATGTACAACAACCTCCTCGAGCGAGTTCCCCGCGGCCTCCCTCGCCGCGCCAAAACCCTCATGCTTCTCCACAACCACATCGGCGAGATCGGACGCAACGATCTGATCACGCTTTACACACTCACCGAGCTCAACCTCAGTTACAACCGCCTCACCAGTGCCAAGCTCCACCGAGAGGCCTTCAGGAAGCTCAGGATACTGGAGACGCTGGATCTGTCGGGAAACAAGCTCCAGGCGCTGCCGTTGGGGCTTCCCAAGAGCCTCCAGGTTCTCAAGGTCAAAGACAACCAGATGACTGAGGTACCCGAAGGAGCTCTGCTGGGAATGAGCTCGCTGAGGGAGCTCTACCTGGCCAACAACCAACTGAAGCTCAACTCCATCTACCAGGGAGCGTGGCAGGAGCTGAGCGCACTCACGGTGAGAGAAAATGTGTTATGTTCTATGTTTGATTTTCCTTATGGTACGTTCACATCGGACGCGAATAGCGCGTCAGGCGCGAATGATTTCAATATTAAGTCAACGCAAAGACGCGTTACGCGCGTTAAAAAATCCTGCGGCGCGAATGAGGAGTGGAGCGCGGAAGACGCGAATGGCGCGAATTGAGCGTCTGGCACGTTAAGCGCATTACGCGCGAATAATTTAGTTAGTGCCATTTGTGCATTCACGCGTTTGACGCGAATTCGCGTCTGCCGCCCGAGTTGAAAAATCTGAACTTTGCCGTGAATTCGTGTCGCGTTAACCAATCAGGAACCTAGCTGCTTGCTCACGTGGTGAAGTCCCAGCTAACATAGGTCCAGCGGGCCACCGGCGGCCCACTGGTGGCAAGTTGGCGGCCCACTAGCGGCCGCCGCCGGTGGATCGCTGGCGTTTTGCTCATCGTTATTCTAGCGGACCACCAGCGGCAGCCGCCGCTGACCCGACGGTGGTCCGCTACCGAGCCGCTGGTTCATAATGAGCGTTTCCTGGCGGACCACGGTCGGTCCAGGGGTCATTTTATGATTTTTTTTTTTTTTTTGTCATTACTGGATAATAATAAATAATAGTTATATTAGATCCAATTTAGGCAAATAATAATCAAAAACAAAGTACACAACTGCTGATAGCCATTGTAAATTTACATTTTATTGGATAGAAGGCACAAATGGATAAAATACAAAATAAACACATGGAAATAAACATAAAATAACATATACATATCTATCTATCTATCAACCAACCATATATATTTATATTATTTATTAACAGGATACAGAAAATCATAAGATTATGTTATAGTACATATTATTTAATATTGTTTAACACTGTACAAAACTATAAAACACATAAGTACATAATAAGGGTCTATATATATATGTGCAGAAGTCTTAGGCACACTATAGTATTTTCGCCTCAAAGAAATGGTTTTAAGGCAGTTATTTATATATTTTGTTGTAGTGTCTCAGTAGGAAATATCAGTTTACATTTCCAGACATTAATTGTGCCATTAATTGTAATAATCCAGTGAAATTTTTGAATGCACAAGGATTCTGACAACAGCCAATGCTCCACACGGAGGTCGGATCTCACCATCATCGAGTGCATCTGAAATTATATGAAGAAACAGAAAAAACAGAGACTAAGACCAGAAGAACAAATGCAAACTGATGACCTCAGGAAAATGCATTTTAGTAGTTGTTTATTTTATTTTATTTCATTTCATTTTTACTTTATTTTTTTTTTATTCCTGTGGAGAAGCAATCTCAGAGAGAGCTTGTTTTCCTCCTCTCAGCTGGATAGGAAAAGCAGACTCGCACATGACAGATAAGATGAGATATCTGTCATTGCATGCAAGTGCTTTTTCTATCCAAGGAAAGATTCATCTGATCTGTTTCCTGAACCATAAAGTCCAATTTCATATTTCAGGGTTTGAGGTTTGGCCTTTAATGTGTGATATATGGAGAAAGTGAACGCTTGAGCATGTTTTATGTGTGTTTCAGACGCTGGATCTCTCCGCTAACATGTTGTCTCACGTTCCTCCTGACCTTCCCGAGTCTCTTGAGTTCCTCCACCTGCAGAACAACAGGATCAGCTCGGTGTCCGCCTCAGCCTTCCTCAACACACCCAACATTAAAGGGATCTTCCTCAGGTGACTCGTCTCTTTCTCTCTTTCACTCGTAGCGAGGCCTGCGTCCCACTAGAAGATCGTTCAGTCCAAAAGTTGATAAAACAAAAAGATGTCATATAAAGGTCTTAAATGGTGTTGTTTAATCAGTTAAACAGTTTTAGCAAAACTATTTTTGTCATCCTGACTTTGCATGTTTGTTCATTTTTGAACAAATAAATCCCAGATGACTTCAAAACCTCATGTAAACGTGGCTTGTTTGCATTGTTGGCTTTTATTATGAGCTAATGTGTTGTGTTAATACATGCAAACACATCTAATCATGCGTTTTCTGAAACTCTGCGATTCATTTTTGTGGTCTGTTGGATCTGCTCTGCTATAATGAACTTATTTCAAAGCTCCCACATAATGCGAGCCGAGAACATTTCCCATAAAGTCGTACGGCATCATAACAAGCGTTCAGAATGTGATCGGAGTCGGCGAGCATGTGGAGCTTAAGAACATTTCTCAAAATAGTTTTCCCATCTTGATCTGATTATTGGTTTCAGAAATATGCGAAGCACTGGGATTTGGACTAGCTTATAAGATGCTGGGATGTGATGATGATGGTACAACATGAAAATATGCTGACTCAGGTTTAATACAAAAGTGTTCCTTCTGCAGTGAGATAACTGTTATTTCATCTGGTGTGGGTGTGTTTTTTTAAAGATAAGGATAATTTGTTTTTATAGAATCCTATATCTATAGAATTTTAACATTATAAAAAACTTTTTATGATATATTTAACAATTTTTTTTAACAAAGATGTCACTTTCTGAACAATAAGTTTTATTTTCAACCTCAGTATTTTTGTCTTGTTTTTCAGTTTAAATATCGTATATATTTTATATTTTTAAATCAGCCAGGACACATTTATTCGAGCAGCAAAATTATTTGAGATAAATCTTGTTTTTTCTTAAAATCGAAATTGTATTAAAATGCTTAAAAAACTATTTGCCAGTGCGGTCATAAAAATAAATTTAATTCAAAAAGAAAACAAGTTTATTTTTCTGAACCCATTTTAAGTGTGACGCTTGATTATTATCATCATGTCATTTTCCTCCTCGGTTAAATGTATCTTGGTTTAAGAATGTTTAGATATTTGTAGTGTGGAAAACAAGACAAATATGCTGAGAAAGAAGTGTAAAAATGATAATGAAAAGCACATTTTTTACCTCGTACCTTAGTGCACTTTGAATCTTTTGAAATGACCCATGTTGCACTTTATGATGTTGACTACTATATTCACTCTTAGAAATTAACGTTCAATGGGATTCTATATAAAACACAGTCATTCTTATTAACGCTAAATAATAAATTAATTGAAACGAATCCTTTACACCAAAATGCTTCTATAGAAGGAAAAATGTCTTAAATCAGTTTTCAATGTTTCAATGGTAGTTTTCATGGTCTGTCAGTGGTAAAAAAATATATATATATATATGTATATATATAATATATATATATAATTTTTTTTTTTTTGCAATCAAAACATTATAGGGGTAACAATACTTTAAAAAGCGAAAAGAAGCATTGGTTATGGACTTCTGCTCTTCTGTTTTGGTGGAATCAAATAAAAAGACCCTTTTTGTCACTAGATCTACATTGTTCTGTTATTTTCTGTAAAATTTCACCAAACATTAAAGTGATCATTCAGAAGAACAAAGGCATTCAAGAAGCCAACGGAAGTGGAAGTGAACATGACAATTGTTCTATATATATATATATATTGAGTCGATTCTCTCATGTGTGAGAGCAGGTTCAGGTCTCTTGTATGTACATAGTGTCCTGTCTGCTCTCTGCAGTTTCCATCAGTAAAAAAAGGAAAAATGAAAATGATGGATTCATGTGCATCAATAAAGCACTCACTCTCAAGTGCCTAGGCGGACGACATCATGGACCCGATGGAAGTTGACATGCCTGAGCCATTACAAGCCGTCAGTGTAATTCTTTTGCAATTTAGCTGGTCCATGTTTAAAAATAAAGGCTGGAGTGCTGAATTCCTGCTGTGATTTGAGAACATCCAGTCCAGGATTGAACGACTCATGTTTACTGAGAATTCACTCACCATCCAAACTGGAATGAGTCGAAAATCTACTTTTATGTGATTCTTCCTTAATTGCACACTGTTTTCCAGTCCAAATATCTAAAGTTTCTTAAAGCAACATACAACTTGACCTAAATGTTTCCTAGCAAGTTTCTTCCAGGAACGATCACGTCCTCATTTAAATGCTTCCCGAGTACATGTATCCTGATTCAGTGCAGTAAAATTCAATGAAGTAACTATTTCTCCGCCTCTCTCATTCTCTTCCTCCCTCAGATTTAACCGTCTCTCAGTTCATTCGGTATCCGAAGAGTCTTTTTCTCAGCTGTCCAAGCTTCAGGTGTTGGACATTGGCCACGGTAACATCTCTCCCAACCGAGACCGAGGAGGAGACGAGGAGGAAGAGGAGGAGGACTTACCGTATGATGAAGAGGAGGAGAAACATTCATGAGTCAGGAAGGAATGGAAAACAGTAAAATTCATGCCCTGAACTTTCCCTCACTCAAAAATAAAATAAAAATGACAACCAGTTTGAAATTATACATGCATTTTGGCTGCTGACAGAGTGCGATTCATTTCTAAATGCATTTACTGATTAGATGCGAGTGCATGGGAAGATATAGACATGATAAGGCTTTATTTTCATTTGGCTTCATGTTGTAATCAGATGCATCAAGTGTCTCATATACAGTATGTAAATATCTGGTGCAGGATACCGGAAAGTTTTAGTGGTTGTCTTTTTTTGTTTGTTTGCCTATTCATGACTCATTTGCTCACTGTGTTTACATGTATGAAACCATTTTGTGCTATAAAATTATAATTTCTGTCTCCAGAGAAAAGAATCAAAGAGTATTTCCTTGACTGAAAAAGTGTATACAAGGTCTTCTGAAGACTGAATTTAAAAGGTTAGTTTACCCAAAAATCAAAATTCTGTCAGTATTTACTCACCCTCATGTTGTTCCAAACCTCTATGTGTTTATTTGATCAAACGGATCTCATTCCCCCATTGACTACCATAGTATGTATTTTTTCCTACTATGGTAGTCAATGGGGAATGAGATCTGTTTGATTAAAACATTCTTCCAAATATCTTCCTTTGTGTTCAGCAGAACAAATAAACACATACAGTAGAGGTTTGGAACAACATGAGGGTGTGTAAACACTGACAGAATTTTCATTTTTAAGTGAACTATCTTAACTAGTAGAAATCTCATTCAGATTCAAAAGTGGTGCAACACTAAATTGTATATCATTGATAGTTTGAAGTTTAAACAGTTTTCCAATGAAGAACAACTTCAATTTTGGGGTGTTATCCACACAAATCTATTGATTTGAAAATATTTGTAACATAACATAACATAAGAGGGGATATATTTATTTCTTTGTTTGGAACTGCTGGATTGTGCTTTCAGAATCAGTTGAGAATGTTTTTTGAATTTAAATTGAATTGGAACTCGGGTAGCAAAATGGAAGCGGAATTGAATTTGAATTTTAAGGAAACAGAATTAAAATAAACTCATTCATATAACCCAAATAAATGTAATTTTAACAAGAAAAATGCAAATTAATGTTGGCTTAAAGGTGCAGTATGTAGTATTTACAGCTAGTGGTTGAAATGGGCATTGCAGTCCAAATTCAAAATACTGGAGAGAGTTGCATCCCCTGCCGCCGCCTCTTCAGACTCGATGCTCACACGGGTTGCCAGATTGAGAACACGCGACAGGAACGAGTGCAACTGAGAATGGAGGCAACGAGTCTCACACTGTAAGTTGATTTATCCACATTTTAATTTTCAGATTTTTAGATAGATGCCGATACTTTTTAAAAAAACTTTATTCACTGATGAACGGGGCCAAACCCACGGGGCCAAATCTCCCGCCTCACCGTTCATCTTCCTGTCCCGAAAACAGTTTTACCTAATATCACCATTATGGTTTCAGCGCAGCCAAGTGGACACGCCCCCAGCGTTTGAGAACAGAGAATACTGCTCATTTTTTCAAGATTCTGATAGCTTATTTTATGTACTTGCCATTTTTTTTATCATTCAAATTTGGCTGGGTGGCTAATAACATCTTTTTCTGTGGTGTGACAAACTCAAAACATGTACTTAATTTTGACTTTAAAGGGACTTTATTTCCCCAAGAATGCACCCAAAATTCCAATTTCCTGTTCAATTTATTTAATTAGAATTCCAAATCCTGTCATTTCAATTCAACTTCCTGTCAGTTTTGACTAATTCTATTCAAATTGAACACTCACGAATGAAAAGAGTTTTGAATTTTGCACAGCTCTGCTTGGCAGATGTGGACCCTCAAGACCTGTATGAAGATTCTTCAAAAATTCTCGTTTTGTGCTCAACGGAAGACAGGTTTGGAAGGATATAAGGGTGAGTAAATTATGGCAGAATTCTCTGTTAACTTATCGTTACAGCCTTTCCAGCCAGTCAATTGTTACATTTTCTCCATCGTGAAAGTTTTGAGAACTATATGCACTTTTTGTGCAGACAGATTTGTGCTATGCTTTAGCGTTCTTCTTTCATCATGCAGAATGTGGAGATTTTCTTGGAAAATCCCTTTCAGAGTTTAATGAACGGAAAGGTTGTTTAAACTGTCAGCCAGTTCCCAGAATAAAATTATGTTTATTTCCTGTCTAACTAATGAATGTGTAGCGACGGATAACTGCACATGACATGCAGCACAAATATGCAGACAAATGAAGAAGAGTTAAATCTCATTCTAATTCTCTGAGATAGTGAGCTTGTCATCTTCGCAGGTCGTTTCAATTTAACATTTTGAACATTCTCTTTGAAGGCATACATTTAGCAGTCGCACAAATTGCTTTTTATCATCAGAATATCTGAAATTGTTCAGATATGTTGTTAATAGGGGACATAAATATCCATGTTGATAACCCAGACTGTTCTCAAACAGGTAATCTGATGCATGTTTTGGACTGTGGCGAGCAGGACGAGGCCGTGAGAGTGACGGTGGCGTGAGTGATGTTTATGTTACTAAACGTGTGGATGGTCCGCCGGACAAACCTCGTTACAGACTCTTTTAGTTTTAATCAGCATGTTGATTTCCCCACTCATAAATCTGGACACACATTGGACTTGGTCCGCACAGTCGGTATACATGCAGAGCAACTTAGAAATGATGAGCTATACTTCAGTGATCTTATATTAACCCGTGAATTTACCACCTCTGCCTCTTTAAAAGCTTCCAAAGAGTGTGTCATAACATGTAGGAAGATCAAGAACATTGATCCCCAGTTGCCCCTTAGCTCTGCTGAGCTTCCTGTGACTGATTCTGCTATAGCGATCATCTATTCTTTTCAATTCCATCTATTCAAATGGTTTGTGTATGATGTGCATTCCAGCGCTGAGTGTGCAAACACACTTGTAATCTCATCATGTTGTGTGAAGTGAGGTTTGGGTGTTGCAGCACATTTATTAGTGATTATTTGAAAGGAAATAACTCTTTGCAGTCCACTTGCATTATTGCCTATAATCATCACGATCAAGTAAGTGTAAATAAATGCTTTATTGATGCATTTCCCCACAGTATTACCAAAATATTGGCGCATGAATACTATCATTAATTATAATATCTACAGAACAGATGTGATCTGAGGAAGTGATCTGATATTTATCGGTTCACAGATGTTCATCAATGTGTCTTGTGTCATGGTCCAAATATTAACACTGAGTAAAATAGGATTAGGCAGAGACTATTTAGAGATATGCCACTTACTCAATCCTTAATACAAATGTGGATTAGGGAAAACCCATAACACCAAAGATGGCGGTTGTATGCAAATGCCCCGCCCCCGCTGGACAGCCAATCATCTGCTTTTAACGGTCAAGCTGGGAAAATACGTTACAGTTTGAAAAGGCGGATTTGATATGCAGTGTATGTGTGCGTTTTGTAAATACATCCCAAGTCTCCCAGAAGTTCCGGGTGTCTCCCGCAGATTGATAGAGGCTCGTTGAAGCCCGCAAATTAGTTAAAATCTCCCGGAATCTAGAGCGACCGAGCAAGAGCGCGCGCACATGTGTTTCAAACGGCGCGCGACAGAGCGAGAGAACCCTTGCGCATGCGCAGTGAAAGTATAACCTGTGGGAAGACGGCGTTTTAAACCTTATTTTGAGGCAAAGTCATCAAACTTTTTCAGCGATTTTTATCATATTTTACTGCTGTTTCTATACATGCAGTTTTTATTTCCCGGTGACCAGTGAAAGTGCAGTTCTGAGTCGCTGCCCATTCATTTAGATGAATTGGCAGCGAAAGCCCGGAGGCTTTGCCAAGATGGCGGCGAGTGGCATTACTTGCCTGAAAGGACTTTGGATTAGGTGAGTAAATTAGAAATGCATTTTCTTCCTTTTGTAGAAACTGTACTTCAGCATAATGCACTATGAGCGTGAAATGTCCACAACATTTTAGGAAATTTAAGGAATTTAAATTTAAGGAAACCGACTATTCCTTTCACAAAAATATTTCAAGCAAATGAGAGGAAAATTAAAGCAAGATAGGCCTACAATTTGATAGCTGGTTGAAATATTAATGGCCAGTGAATCTTTTACAATTAGTCAAGTTCATTTTTGGTCATTCCAGTGAGAAAATCAATTATAAAAGCAAATGTGACATGTTTTTACTCTTTTTATAATCAAAGGATGATTTTTTTTTACTGTCTTGCTTAAATTTGACCTTGTGAGCTCAACATAACAAAAGCAGTTTAAATGTAATCTTCTCCCGCTTTTCTTTAGTCTGGAGGTAAATAATGTGGTTTATATGCCCATATATGACATGTGCAGCTGCCTTCAAGCTGAAACATTAGTGATGGACCTCAGTGTCTAACACTACGATTCATTTCATTGCCTGCCAACTTGAGCATGCAGGAAGTTTATAGGATGCATCTGAACTTGTAAGGTGCGTGATGTGCTGTTTAATTTCTTTCCTTATCAAAAAGTTGATATCACAAGAAAACAAGTGGCATGTCATTCAAACATCTGCGCGTCTTCACGCATTTCTCCTCCATGCATGGAAATCCTGTCCGCGTTTATCCACGGAGAACAGATTCTGTGCATCAATGTCAAAGGCTGCGAGAGGGATTTCATCCTAATTCAGTTAATCACAAAGAGCACATGGAACTCTATATATTTCAATGAGAAAAGCTGAGCGCTTTAATCAGCTCTGAGAGACGACAACAGCCGGCCATGAACCGGCCCGCGTGCCACGGCTTTACTGGCCTTCGTAATCAGCGCAAATGAGTTTCATCAGAGATTAAAGACCACGACATACAAGAGTGAGATCTGAAATATACTCTACACAAGTACAGCAGCCCAAATGCTTTATCACCGAGTTACGAAACATGCAATAGAGTTGGATTCTCTACTCAGTATTGCTGTAAGAGGTGAGCTGGTATTGGCACACACTCAGATCAACTACTGTCAGATTCTCAGTGTTGCTTCCATATGAGGGTTTTCAAAGCAATGTAATAGAAGAATCATTTTAGGTTCTCTGAAGAACCTATAGGGTGTGTTCACACTTGTAGTTTGGTCCGGAGTCCGGTTGTAAAGATTATTAAAACGTTCTTCACACTAATAAAAAAAAATGGTTCTTTTAAAAACTGTTCACTGAAAGTTTTTTTTTTTTTTGAACTCAAAATGGGTTTTCTATGATATTGCAGCGAGAACCTTTATTTTTGCATGTTAAAGGAACCGCAGATGCCAATAAGGTGCGCTCTATAGTGACCATTAAAATGTCTAGAAGAATAGAAGAAAAGTGTCTTGCTCAGTAAATGAGTTTTGATAAGTTATTTTTCAGGTAGAGGCTATAAACATCCAGTTTATTGGCACAGACATATGAAGGTAACGAGTAGGTTTGTAACCAGTGCACATGAACACACACATGCATGATTTGACTTTTTTTTTTTTTTAAATGTACCACACACTATTCATAATGCAGTGCAACTATTCTCAGTATTGCTTGTGTATAAGAATTGTAAAAAAAAATATGAACATTTATTGTGCATTTGGGCCCTTCATCTGCTCTTTTTTTAACATCACCAAGTTTTAAAGCACTCAAATTGAGTTAACCATTTTTATAAAAATGACATGAAATCGTTCAAAACTTACGGAAAAGCTCATAAAGGATAATGTACAGAAAAATTCATGTAAGATAATATTCCTCACAAAGAATTATCTCGGTTTCATACTTGCATAACGTGTTTCTGGACTAATTTAGCACACTTTCTGAGATGTGCATGGTATATTACATACCAATATTTATTTTTGAATAATCATACAGCAATTTCACAGCTCATATATGCCTGGGATCACACTTTTATTTATTAGCACTGCTTACCTAAAGTGGCTTCCTCAGTGCTTTTTGAATTAGTCGTTGTAATAATTCGCTGAGCGCTTAACAGTAGGACCGACCCAGATGTGTTTCGCACAAGAACGGGAGAGGAGAATGTCCACCGAAAAACTGATTTTTCTTCCTCTTGTTTTACACTGCAAATATTGAATAGAGCCCGACCGATAAACGATTCTGAAGGCCGATACCGATACAAATATTTGTTGGTTTTAAAATCCGATATTCCGATATATCGGCCGATATTTTTTATTTTATTTTTTTCAGGAACGCACAACAAAACATTAACAGATTTCCCTAACATTAGTTATTTGTAGTTATGTATGAGTTTTAATTAAAATAATATGATAATGCAATTTAAAAAGAAATGTGTTTCTTTTATTGTCGCAACAGAACAGAGTAGGAACCGAAGCTCATTAATTAATTAACAAAGCTCATTAAATTCCACTGATGATAGTGGCATTAGCTAGCTTTGTGGTTAGCTAGAATGTGTTGCGCGTTATAAACGAGTGTTGCCAACAGGCCAGGGACGGTGTAGAGTGCCCTCTGGTGGACAAACTTATACAACTCCAACATGACATGGTTGAAGCGTGTTTCATCCATTTTTATTTTAATTTTGAAATATTAATTTATCGGCCATTATAACTGCCGATACCGATAGTTTGTAAAATGATTAATCTTGGCCGATAATATCGGTCTGGCTCTAATATTGAAACGTTCTTAAATCAAGATACATTTACTTGAGAAGCAAAATACTTTTTACAAGGCTTGTTTTCTTAAAACAATATCAAAATTAAGTGATAAAACAAGTGCTTTCTGCTTTTTAATTGAAAGGGAAAACAAGTTTGTTTTTCTGACCCCACTGGCAAAGATTTGTCATATTTGTAAGTCAATTCATTTTTTAAGTCTAATTATCTTATGTAATTTTGCTTCTCAAGTATCTGTCTCCTGATTTAAGAATGTTTGGATATTTCTACTGGAAAACAAGAGCAAGAAAATCATTTTTCTCAGTGCATCCGATAACATAAAACATTCAACACCACAGTCAATGTCGATTTTCACGCACAACTGCGATCTTTACAATATTTTACAAGGCTTGCTCAAAGAGACAAGAACCAAATATAAGATATAAAATTATATATAAACTTGAGAAATAAAAAAACACGCCGCATAGAGTACATAGCTATGTTGTATTTACAATTCACTCGTGCTTTTTGACAGTCTTGAATCACGTTTCTGTTGAGCTACAGGAAAAGTTGAACTCTCTGAACCCAAAGAAACAGGCTGGCTTGGTGACCTGGTTTCTCTTTCCATCCTGGCATTATCTAATGCACAGATCGGGTCAACTGGGATGTGCTGCCAACAGTGGCATTGGCCCATATGTGCAGGATCATACCATGTGTTGCCTCGTGACTGTCAGAGAAAAACGGAAAGGAAATTAAACACGTCGTCCGTTCCCATGTGCGTGGACTCTTTTTCAGTCTGAGCCCTGAGAGGTTTTGATGGTCGCTATACGTTAGTCTCGAGACCGTTCATATCGATGGCACAATGTTCCTTGTCTCTGTGTTTCAGGTGGCGCGGGGGTATGGGTGGTTTTTTCCGATCCAGAGGCGGTGGACGAACCCCTTCCTCCAGCTGCATGAGACGGGCCACATCTGGAGGAATGTGCTCGGGTTTGCTCTCTGGTGGCGGCGGCTGGAAACTACCATTGTTCTGCTGACAGTTTGGCAAACCCGGGTTAGTCACGGGCTTTGTTTCGCAGATGAGAGGGACCTATGGAGAAACAGGAGAAGGCAAATGAAACAATTCTTTTACTGCTTTGTTCGAATGAGTTTACAATAAGGTCTCATGTGTTAACATTGCTATGTTTCTATCCAAAGTTGCGAATTTAAAGGGTTACTTCAGCCAAAAAAAAAGAAAATTTTCCCATAATTTACTAATAAATTTTCCCATAATTTACACTGTAAAAAATAAAACCGTAATTTTTACGGTAAAAAAACGGCAGCTGTGGTTGCCAGAACATTACCGTCAAAAATACGGTAGGAACGTAAATGGTTTTACAGACTTAACTTAAAATTTACAGTAATAAACCGTATTTTATTTTCTGATAAAATTTTGATTTTACCAACTTATTGACGTATTGATATCTGTTTTAGACCATTGTAATACACTGACAACCAACAATCATCACAGCAGTAATGAGAGTTACATGAGCAATCACAGCTCATCAAAAGTGAATACTTATATTAAGAAGCTGCGCAGTGTAATTCACACAAACATTAAACACCATCATGGTAACAAACATGAAATTAAAAAAATTAATTTAACAACATTAAATGTAACATAAAACCATAATGTACATAACTGAATAGAAAAAAAAACTTTCTGTTAACCAATTAACAGTTTTGCACTGTAGCATTTTTACAGTATTTTACCGTTAAAATCAGTTATTTTTTACAGTGTACCCATAAATTTCCCATAAATGATAATTCCCATAATTTACTCATATGACTTTCTTCTTTTCGACGAACACAATCTGATGTTATACTCATAATCTTTAATATATGAGTTACATATATATATATAATCCAGCTCTTCCAATCTTTACAATGAGAGTGAATGGTAACTAAGTTTTTGAATCCCTAAAGGCCCTAAGAATCTGAAATTTTCATACACGTTTTTTCGTATTTGTGATTCGGTGGCTCTGAATTGTCAACTGCTTGCTACATGCGAAAAACGCAGAAAATCGAACCCAATTACATTTTTTTAATGACATACCAAAGTTTCGGAGGCAGTGTGCAAGCGTGATTGACATAACGTGAGGTTCTATTTATATTTAAACGTGCGGAAATTTCGCAAGCGAACTGTGCAAGGGCCTTAAAAGTGTATCCATCCATCATAAAAGTAATCCATACGACTCAAGGGGGTTAATAAACGCCTTCTGATGCAAATCTGAACAATGTATATTTTACAGCATTTATTAACCATAGTTCATTTTAGTTTATAAAAATGATTAGTAAATGCTGCAGTATTTTTCATTGTTAGTTCATGTTAACTAATGTTATGAGCATATCATTTCAAGCAACAATTTCAAATTGAAAATTGAACCTTCCTTTTGGTTTAATGACCGCAACACATGAGCTGACATCCACAGAACAAACAATGATATTTAACTAGTGAAATAGAAATAGCACAGATGTTATTTTTGATATATATATATATACACTATTTAACTATTTATCAAGTGGCAATTGTCAGGAAGATTTTAAACTTTTTAATGCATATAGTAATTTCTCAAAGTGAACGTGTTTACTCAGGTTTTTTAAGCAATATTTTACAAACACATGCACTGTTTAGCGAATATGAGCATGGCTATGATTCGGCTGTGTGTTTCACATCAGTTATAGATGCAAGTTTTGATTTGAGTTCAAATATAATGTAGTGAGGGCACTTTTTGCTCTTGAACTAATCAGTTAAATAGTCCTTGAACTACAAGTGGCTCTTGGATAAAAGCGTCTCCTAAATCACTTCCTAATTACTAAGAGTGGAAAAATGAGATCATCACGGTCACAGAAGCACTCTCATGTGCTGAAGAATAATTCAAGACAGCCCCCAAACGTATGGCGTACATGTGCCTTCAGTCAGGTTTTAGCAAAAAATAAAGACGAATGGTATTTTCCCTAACCATTTGCAATGAAAACTACTAAAATATATGTTTTCCATTCACATTGGCTCCAATAGCAAAAGAAAAAATATCGAAAGATTGATTACAGTGGTCAGAAGAAAGATGTCAAATTTGCTTTTAAAGGCCCGCTGAAGTGCCTTGAAACACAGCATTATTCAATGTGTTGATGTAATTTCCACTGAAACAGGAAGACAGGGCGGGACATATCAAACAGCTCCTCTCCTTTATTAAAATAGTTTATTTCACAGTTTAGTTTATTTCACAGCTTGACCAGAGTCATTGAGCTTTAACTGTTTCTTCTCCTAATCTCCTACATATCGCTTTAAAATACAGCATTCTGTGCAGAATCCGATACGTTTTCTGGTTTACGAGACTCGACCATATGATCCGCTCTGTGCTGTTCTGTCTCTAGACCGGATCTGCAGCTGTTTAAAGGATTAGTTCACTTTTGAAAAAACTTTTGCTGATAATTTACTCACCCCCATGTCATCCAAGATGTCCATGTCTTTCTTTCCTCAGTCGAAAAGAAATTTAGGTTTTTGATGAAAACATTCCAGGATTTTTCTCCATATAATGGACTTCAATGGGAACCGGATGGTTCAAGGTCCAAAAGACAGTTAATAACAGTTTCAGATGCAGCTTCAAATGTCTTTAAACGACACCAGACGATGAATAAGGGTCTTATCATGCGAAACGATCGGTTATTTCAAAGCTTATTCCAAAAATGTAACTTTTCTAAGGACAAATGCTAGCCTTGCTCTATTCTGTGAGGCGCGTTTGTAACGTCACGTAATACGTAATTACGTTCAAAAGGTCACGGGCGACGTAGCCGGAAGTACAGAATCAAAATCGTCCGACATCGTTGTTTTACCTTTTAATTCCTTTTTTGTAAACGGCGTTTGAGTTAGTTTTCACGTTCAACCTATGCGTTCAACTTATAAACACTGACTCTGTACTTCTGGCTACGTCGCCCGTGACCTTTTGAACGTAATTACGTACTACGTGACGTTGCAAACGCGCCTCACAGAATGGAGAAAGGTTAGCATTTGTCCTTAGAAAAGTTACATTTTTGGAATAAGCTTTGAAATAACCGATCGTTTCGCACGATAAGACCCTTATTCATCGTCTGGTGTCGTTTAAAGACATTTGAAGCTGCATCTGAAACTGTTATTAACACTATCTTTTGGACCTTGAACCATCCGGTTCCCATTGAAGTCCATTATATGGAGAAAAATCCTGGAATGTTTTCATCAAAAACCTAAATTTCTTTTCGACTGAAGAAAGAAAGACATGGACATCTTGGATGACATGGGGGTGAGTAAATTAGCAGCAAAAGTTTTTTCAAAAGTGAACTAATCCTTTAAGTGACACTAACGTGAAACCAGATTTCATTCGCCCCGATGGAAAGCATATTTACACTCTCTGAATCATTCCCTGTCTCCATTCACCATGTAGAAAATAGTAAATGTGTGAACAAGTGACTGATTTCAGCTGCAGCTTCAGATTCTATTTATAGTGTAAGGGGCGGAGCCTGAGATTCTACTGTGCATTTGATTGGACAGAAAATCCAAGGAGAAGCTGAAGTGCACAGTGGAAATTAGAGTTTTGAATACTTATATCTTCTAAATCCTAAGTTTGTAATTGTTTTGAAGCACACAAGCCTATAGATAACATTAAGACTAACACATTCATACTAAAAGCCAAAAAAACAGTTTTGATTTCATGGGGACTTTAACTAGAATTAACTAGTTTTCTGTAATTAGGGATGGGGCCGATCCGATCCAGTATCGGTATCGGGACCGATACCAGCATAATTCACGTATCGGATTTTTCCGATCCAACCTGCGGAGAAATCCGATATTTATGATCCATGTCTGCGCTTGAACGTTGTCTGCTGAAATGACTCCAAAAGTGATTCCCGCCGGGCCTGCTAGTCTGCTATAGCTGGCTGCAAACTGTGGAACAATGGATACCCTGAACGGAGGTGCAGCTCAATTAGTGACTGTAAAACATAGGGCTCAATGAGACACACCCCCGCTCAGGAAATCCATTCCGCAGTTTGCAGCCAGCTAGATGTTCGCTGTGTGGAAATCATATGGTGGAACTGGAAACACCGCTGCAGTGCAGAGCAAGACAGCAAAGTGCAATGTTTGCAAAGCCGTATTAATTAAACTATTTGATGCATGTTTGCAATTCGCAGTCCAGAAGAGAAAGAGAGAGATCTCTCACGCGGTGCAACAGCAAGCACAACATGACAGCCCGGCGTAATGAGTGACGACAGAGGAAACGTAGCCTGGTTACACTTTAGATCTGTGATATTAGTCTGATTTCCAAATATTAAAGAATATATTGAGGTAAAAAAAAAACATTAAAAACAATAGCCGCATTCTGTCTAGCCAACTTCCTTCCCATCGCGGCGGTGCGCTGTCATTTCTCCCTAAAACTCAAACTTTAAGACAGAATCAGCACGATCGATGATTGTAGTAAAATGCAGTCTCTGCTGTTACTAAGTTGCGTCACGCTTTTAATAATAAAAAGAGCTATTAAAAGCACAAAATTTGCGCAAGAGATGTTGTTCCCAGTGCGGCGCGCTCCGAAACAGACCGCAACAAGACAAGCAAATTATAATCTGGGCTTCATATGCGCGTCTAAACGATCAAATGTAGCCTGCACAAAAATGTCAAACCGACCGACTTGGAGATTAACACTTAAACAATTTATTATGTCTAAAATGAACGTAGTTATGGAAATATTTGGGAGAAAATATGGTGCATCAGTAGACTATGAAATCTGAACTCGTTCTTAAAGGGGCAGCAGTATAAATGTGACGATTGCGATTACTGAGAATCAAACAACCAAAGGCAAAGAGAAAATCACTCACAGCTCTTGAATGAATTACTTCAGCTTTAATAAGCATAAATCTATCTATGATAAACTTTGCAGTGCTATTTTACTTTTGATTACTTTATTATAATTCTTTTTAAGACCATACCTGAACAATGTTTGTAGACCTTCCTGAAATTAAAGCACTGTGTAGGCCTGTATAATGTGTATCTTTGTTTAATTGTCTATCTATATATATATATATATATATATATATATATATATATATTGACATACATACATATGTACATATCATCCTTGCCTGTAGAGAGGAGTTTATTTCAGCATCATATAAAATCAACAATAATGATAAATACTATTAAAGCAAACACAGCTCTGGTATCGGAAAAGTATCGGTATCGGCCGATATCCAAAGTCAGGTATCGGGATCGGATCGGAAGTGAAAAAATGTGGATCGGTGCATCCCTATCTGTAATGCCAGTGCAATATGACACAAAACATAGTCTAAATTAGCATGATAATTGTCCTATTTACAAAAACCCAAACTATTTAGCAGTTTCAAAGCATATTAAATGACTTCTTGCTGCAGGGAAACAGAGAAAGGCCAGGTCATTTTGATACAATCATTTCTTATGCACGTTCAAAATGTGCTTTTTAATTAAACTTACTGGTAACCTCATTGAAGTGTTATAAAAAGAATGCACAAAGCTAGATTTATGTGTGTGTGTGTGTGTGTGTTTAAAAGCGAAGGATCTGTTCTTCCTTTTGCATGTTCAGATATTAATCCAACAGAATATTTTGGGGTCCATGAAAGTTTTATGAAACTGATTAACAATGCTGGCATCAGCATTGTAATATCATGTCATATTTATATATTTCTGTTTTTCTATCTTGTCGTGACATATACTGTATAATAATCACAAACTCTTCTCAAACTACTTAGTTTGTTCTGATTTTCAATACAGTGTCCTTGAGATATCTCTGTAATTACGTCTTTAATTCCTTAGAGTTATGAATCGGGTGACCTTTCCTATTGTCAAGGAAACAACTTTGAAACCCTGTGTTCCTGTGTTATTGAGAACCAAGTTCATCAATTAGAAAACATGCTTATTTTATATTCACATCTCCCTCATTATATAAAAATAAAATTACACTGGTCTTTGTCAGTGTTTCATGAGGACAGATATATGAACTTGTGTAAAATATAATTCAGATCCATGCAACTTTTTACAATTCATATTATTCTCAAAACAGCTTTACAAAGTACAGCAGTTCAACAACCTTGGGAGGATCAAACTCAGTCTTTGTGTTTGTGTAAATATAGTTGAATATGTTGTATTGAGCTCGATCCTCCCAAGGTTTCTCCCTGCCATTGTCTTCTCTCTGTGGGGTTTGTGAACTGCTATATTGAGTAAAGCTGCTTTGGAAACAGGTGTGAGTGTGTGGAAACGGTTTCCTGAAATCGTTGTGTTGCATCTAAACCCAATAGACAATACATCAACATACATTACGTTCCCTATATATATAGTGGGTTCCAAAAGGATTGAGAGCACTAGTGAAAATGCTCCTATTTTGCATTTATAATTTAAAAAAACACACAAAAAAAAACAGTTTGGATAGGCAAATGATTAAGAGTCTATGATTAAATCATTATTGCTGTTTATATCATTCTTATGTTTATATCATGTTGAACAGTTCTTCAAACCCTAATGGAGTGATGGGTTTTGGAGTGATGGAGTGTGTCATTTTTCATTTCCTAAACAACCATTTCAAGATTCATCAGGCTCAGATTGAGAAAGAATGGTTGTGAGGAGAATGAAAAATCCAGAGCTTAAATTCATTAAAAGTCTTTGGGATGTGCTGGAGGAGACTTATTGCATTGGCAATACAAGATCTTATGTATGATTTATCTTGATTTGGATGGAATTAAATAGTATGTCCATGTTATTTGTCAACTACAGATATGATATGTTTTTAGGGAACTCACCCCATCTCCCTCTTTGATGAAGTCCTTTCTGCAGATATGGGCCATGATTCCCGTGGCCAGAGCGTCTCCCATCACATTGACCATGGTGCGAAATCTGTCTCTGAAGAGGTGAGTACAAACAGATTTGATGTTAAGATTCACTTAAATACCGCCAGCCCGCTCCCGAGATCTAACTAGGTGAAAGTCTAAAAATATACAGCACATGTCGAGACTTTTAAAGAACAATTATAGACCTGTGTAATCTAAAATTCTTGAAAAATGGTTTGCCCAAAAATTAAATATTTTTTTAGAAAAATATAAATTAATTACTGAAAAGCAATATGGCTTTAGAGAAAAAAAGATCAACAGCTTTGGCATATTGAACTTATAGACAAAATTACATCTGCAATTACATCATCGACTTAAGCAAAGCATTCGATACCATAAATCACAGTTTGCTATTGTGAAAATCATTCAATTGTGGCATTAGGGGTCCAGCGCTTATGGGGGGGGACAGGTATTACAAGATTTTTTATTCCTCCTGTTCCTTTTTTTCGTTCATGGAAATAAAGTAATATGTTCTAATAAATAAATACATTTAAAAAAAACAAAAAAAAACGTACAAGGCCCAATCAACAGCGATAATGAGAGTGATGTCATCGGTGGGCAGTCCTACGGATGTCAACACTATTACCATGGTGACCAGGCCGGCCTGTGGGATCCCGGCTGCACCGATGCTCGCTGCGGTCGCTGTAATACTGGAAAACATGATCAACAAATCATAATCATTACTCAACAAAGATAATTAAGAGTAAATACATTTTGGTCAATTCAATCTGGAGGGAACTATCACATTATATGAGCAACAACTGCTTGCAACTGTTTTGAATGACAGACAACCAGCCTTCATTTATTACTGGACGAAAGCAAACAGTATAAATGTACACACTAAATCAAACACAGAATGAGCAACTGAACAAAAAACAGCTCAAATACTTAGAAGAACATTAGTCAACTCGAGTGACACACATTTTTTCAACACACAGTTATATATAATGTGCACTGCTTTGTTGAGCAATAACATGTATCGATGTCACACTTCGATCTACACAGTATTTTTAACGCAACAGGATGAATAGAAGTCGCTCTGGTCTTTTCTAGTGAAGTAATGGGGTTCTCATAAGTCCTGCCTTGAGGAACCTGTCATTACCTGAAATGGCCTTTTTTGTCATGTAATTTGGAGTCAGTAAAGGACTACAATTTGTAAGTTATAGAAGTAATAGTATAGAATGAGCTCTGTCACTTGTTATATGTGGACTGCAGTAAGTTTACTCTGCTATTGCATTGATAACAGTGTGAATGCATGCTGACATTGCACTGTATACGTGTGCCGAGTGAATTCTGTAACCTGGTAATATCGGCATCGCAATAAATGCATTGTGCTATTGCCCTACATATGCATGCAGAGAGAATTTGATAACTTTTGATACTTTTGAACTTTTGAATTTGATGTGTACAGAGAAAATATACACGTATAGGCACTTTTGCACTGCTATACACTTGCAAAATGAACGCAGTAACCTGGTAATACACGGGCCTGCAATGCATAGTGCTATTGCAATGCAGGTGCTATAACCCGTTAACATGGCCACTGCATTAAATATATCACTATTGTGCTGCTTAGAAGAGTAAATGTGATCTGTGCAGAGTAAATGTGACCTGTTAATATAGGCATTTCAAAACATATTTGTGTCTATTGCAGGTATGCAGCTGTTGCATTGCTTATGTGAGTTTTGCATTTTGCATGTTTTGCATTGATTGCAGTGTAAATTGGTGTTTATATAAGCAATGCAATGTAAAGTGAATTCTGTGACCTGTTAATATGGGCATTGCAATAAATGCATTGTGCTATTGTCCTACATATGCATGCAGAGAGAATTCGATAACTTTTGATACTTTTGAATTCGATTGCACTGCTTATGTGTACAGAGAAAATTTACACATATAGGCACTTTAGTACATAGAATGGGCTATTGCACTGCTTACACTTGCAAAATGAATGCAGTAACCTGGTAATACACGGGCCTGCAATGCATAGTGCTATTGCAATGCAGGTGCTATAACCCGTTAACATGGCCACTGCATTAAATATATCACTATTGTGCTGCTTAGAAGAGTAAATGTGATCTGTGCAGAGTACATGTGCTTGTACAGAGTGAATTTGACCTGTTAATATAGGCATTTCAAAACATATTTGCAACTATTGTAGGTATGCAGCTGTTGCATTGCTTATGTGAGTTCTGCATTGATTGCAGTGTAAATTGGTGTTTATATAAGCAATGCAATGTAAAGTGAATTCTGTGACCTGTTAATATGGGCATTGCAATAAATGCATTGCTTATGCATGAAACAGGCTTGCTCAACCCCCAACACTGGCAACAGAGCATTTGAAAGCAAGGGATGAGAGAGAGAGAGAGAGAGAGAGAGAGAGAGTTGAGGGATTTTGGGATGGTGGGGGGAACAATTGAAAACTGCACAATAATCCTGTGGTAAGAGCCATGTGACGGCGGAGTTTATCCCTGTAACAGCGCAGCCCAAAATGCTCTCTATCCGTATATATCTCCTTACCCTCCATTTCTTCATCTGACCTTTCGTTCGCAAGATTGTGAGGTCTCCATGCCACTCTATGATGTATTGAACTCTGAAGTACTGTATGCACTTCGATTTATGTGCTTGGTTTTCCTTTTAGTCCAGACCGGATGATGGAGGGATAATGGTGCGTGCCAACAGATCTAACCGACGGTGGTTCTATCAAGCACGCATGTGAAGCGGACAGAGTCAATTATTTGTAAAACATTTGAATGGCAAGTTAAATTTTCAGATTGTTTAGAAACTAATTCTATTATACGATATTTCTTGGTTAGGTTTAGTAAATGCATATTTAAGCTTGTGTAACTCCTCCTCGCACCGCTCCGAGCGGGATTCGAACCAGCATATCTGGCATGTGAGGTGGGCGCACTTTTACTGACTTCAGCAAAAATGGTCACTGAAACTCAGCTATGCATTTGTAAGGGCGCCAAAATAAATAAACGCTTTATAGTTCAAACTGAGCACAACATGAAACTGTGGTACGGTGATATTGGGGAATATTTGTGCAGTTTTTATTAAATATATTTTATATTTACTTTCGTTCCTAATGAGACAGTAATGCAACTTGAAATTGCATTTAAACTCTTTAAACTGGAGCTTTTCGACTTCTATGAATTTGTTTAACTTGTACAAATTGAAGGGCCACTTCAACGTGGAGAGAGCTTTGAAAAGGTCAAATCTTTGCATTGTTATTCTGCTACTTAAAAATTGTACAATTGCATAAACAATGGACTATTACATAATGCTCATGGAGATGGATTAAAGTGTCTCTTCAGCTTCATTCAGCCTCTGGATCATGAAGATCTGTATGTGCGAAATACAGTAAATCCAGAGCTAGCCAGTTAGCTACACTCTTTGAAGAAAAGGTTCTATATAGAACCTTAAAAGGTTCCATCAGTGCTACGTATTTGGAACCCCTAAAAGGTTTTATACACTCTTAAAAAAGGGTTCCTCTGGGTTCTATATAGAACCCTGGGGTTCCATACTTGGCCAATAGAACCTGTTACCAAAAAAAAAGAAGTGAGGGATGGAACCATTTCTGGTTCTAAATAGAACCATTTCTTCTAAGATTGGTGAACAGATTGATGGGTGGATGGGTCAAATAGTGATACTTTTCTCATACCAGTGTTATTTCAGTTTTATTGAGAAAGTATTATAGTTTAAATGAACAATTTAAATTAATTTTGTTAATTTTTATTTTACTCTTAGTTACTTTACTGCTTCAAGTTATACTAAATGAAATGAGAGATGTTGCCTTGGCAACTAGCCAAATGTAAACTGAGTTGAAGGTTTTATTTGATTTTGATTAAAGTTCAATTTTTAAGATTTTAGTTTTAGCTAATTGCCATCATTCAGCCTCATGCAGTCTATGTATAGTTGTATTTCATTATATTTGCACTTCAGTTCTGTCATAACAACTTTGTCATGGTAATGGATGTGACAATATTGATACGTTTGGTCTTGTGGAATAGATCTGCTACACTGCTTCAACTGCTGTTATTTCTGCTACTATTGCTGTTGTAGAAAATGTACAGGACTTACTACTGTTAATACACACACGACACGCTGCTGTAAGACATGCTGCTACATCTATGGAGGGTTTCTAAGAGCACAAAGCAACTGCTACAGCAAATGCCGACCAAGTATTTGAATGTTCAGCACCTCATTGGCTACTGATACAGCAGGAACCAATCAGCTGTGCCCTAGAATGATGTGATTGCGAGCAGGTTGAGTTAAGGACCAATCAGCCGCCATCTAGAGTTTCATGACAGAACTCTGTATTTCAATAAAACCCTTTTATGGGGGAGAAACTTAAAGCTACACTGTGTAACTCTTTTAGTTTATTCTTAGCTAAAAACACTTAGTTCTTTCAAAAATATGTGTGCTCATTAATGTATATTTACTTCGTTCAAGTAATAAAGTATTCTCGTGAGTGTATAATATGCCATTGAAAACACATACGGGTAAGGGTTTCTAATGTCGGTCGCCATGTTGCCCCTCCATCTTGAAAGTTAATTCAAGCTTCGCCTTTCGCGTTTACGTTTGAGTTAACACTCATGGACGAGGTCGAACTGGAAGCCATGTTAATCTTGGACTACATTGGCCACCGTAGGAGTTAAAACGAAATCGGAATTGAGAGGAACAGAACTAATATTCACTGGATGGTCATATACCTTTTCACCGCTAGATGGGGGTAAAAATCACACAGTGTAGCTTTAAATGACTTAAATTTTGTAAACAAACCTGATAGTGATGATTTGGCCAAAGTCTAGTTCGTAGTTGTTGACTTGGGCGATAAAAATGGCTGCCACCGCCTCATACAGCGCAGTGCCGTCCATGTTGATGGTGGCTCCCACGGGAAGCACGAAGCGAATGATCCGCCGGTCGATGTGATTGTTTTCCAGCAGGCACTTGAAGGTGATAGGCAGAGTGGCAGAACTGCAGATGAAAAAGGATCTCGTGTTAAAACGATATATAAATACTGTTCGTGTCTTAGGCCATCAATGTGTACTTACATTTACGAGTCATTTAATCATGTTTAATTTGGACTTCTCTGTGCATGCTCTTTGAGGTGGTGACCATAGACCTCCATTATATGACTGACAGACAAGAACGGTTTGACCTAAAAATATCAGCTACATCTTGGATGCCCTTGAGGTAAGCTAAAACATACTAAAAATAATTTCAAAGTGAACTAAAAACTGGTCACTTCTTGGAGGATGGTGTGATTGAGGAACTGGCTTTTGTGTTTTCGTCCTTGGCTGGTGTTGGGATGTGTTGTACCTGGAGGACGTGGCCAGTGAGATGAGCAGCGCCTGCAGGATTCCTCGGATGTAGACGATGGGGCTCTTCTTGGTGATGAAGAAGTACATGCTGGGCAGGATGAAGAGGCCGTGCAGAATGAGGCCCATCACCACAGTTATAGCGTAAAAGCCGAGTTTCTTCCCCATCGCCGATGGGTCGCTCATCTCCAGGATCTTACCGGCCACCAGAAACACGATGCCAAACGGGAAGTACCTGCACAGAAACAATACATTCAAATATAGCCACCAACAGTATCATATTTGAAACAAAAGTTTATAAGGCCTCTAAATGATCAATATGATCAAAACTTTTGCTGAAGAATCTGTTGCACATGAACGATCTACCAAATGTCATCTGAGTGATAGTTCAGACGTTTTTTTAAGGCCATTTAGTATAATTGCTAGTCTTTTTGCTATGAATTCTTTACTGATTTTTAAAAAGTAAACTACATTTTATATTGTTAGTGATATGTCAAGATTAACACTTACTGGACTGAAGCAACTTAGGTTTATTTGATTATCCATACATCTTTTTTTTCCATTAAAATGTATCAAAAATGGTCCATCAGGCGTTTGAGGAAGGTTTATTTGTTCATCTCTCAATAATCATTGTATTGCATTGCATTATATGTTTGTTTTGCTGTTATTCCTCTTTGAGTATGAGCTCTATATTCTCACTATATATACTCTGTGCATAAAAAAAGACCATAAAATTTTTTGTCTAAATGTTCAAATAAACTAGATTTTTTCAAACTTTTTATCCTCAATTGGTATGAGGATAAATTCAATTTAAAGTACAAAGGTACAATGACTGTCTATTTTTATCTGATGAAAGTAACTGTATTCCAAATACTCATAATTTAAAGTTTATTTGTTAATGACATCTAAGTCGGTCCGCTCTGGTTACCAATGTTAGGTGGGTGGGGAGGTGTTGGTGGTGGGATGGACCCCTATTTATAAGCTATTGCTTCTTGGGGGATCCATTTTCACAATAGAATATATCTGTTTTCCTGATCAGTTGTTGGGAAAGTTACATTGAACTATGGTGTACTAAAGTAGTAGTTGCAATTGTAATGTACTGCATAATTTATACTGCTTCTGTCTATACTATTTATACCCCAACAACTGCTTTTGTTGAAGTAAAATGTACTGAGTTATTGTGAAATAAACTAAACTAAACTATCATTCCATATGTTAGGCTTTACAAGGTTACGTAGGTAATGTTTTAACATTCTTAATATTAAGATCAACGCAAAATAAATAAATTAATTAATTTTTATTAAAAAAACAACAAAAATAAATCTTACCAGATGACAATCGCAACGATTTTCAGCACCGCTTCATTCAGACTTTGGCAAAAGTTAACCAGTGCACTGCCGTTAGGACCCATTCTGCCCAACATTATGCCTGCGCAAAAATGACCAGCGATATGCAAATGTGAGATATAATATACAAATATGAACACATATGTCATTTGTTGTAGTATTCTCACCCATGGTGGCAGAGAAAATGACAATCCCCAAGACATTCATGCCCTCACTGGTGCCAGGAAGCGTTCGCATCACCACGTCAGGAGGCGGGGTCAAATCCAGCTGAAAGTTCTGGATGTCCGTCCCGTTATCGTCCTGAATACCGTAGATGAGCGTGCGGCGAGTTGTGCTCTCCATCAGACTGGCGGCCACTGTCGCCTTGGGCGACTTCATTATGGGCACACTGTTGGTACGATACTAAAGAGACAAGTTTTTTTAATGAATCTCTTTATTTTTTTTTTCAGTTTGACAAGCACTTTATGATCCAGTCGATTCCTGTTCACACTGATCTGCGAAAACGGCTAAAAACGCTGTATTCTGCTGCCAAGCCAGTAGGTGGCGATGTCACATCGTAAAGAAACACTGACTCAACAGGTAATATGCATGACGGCATCGCTTTTCACAAATTCACAAATGCTAACGCTGTGCTTTTCAAAAATGTGCACTTTGAAAACTTCTTTGAAGAAAAAAATTCCATTGTCGTGTAATTGAATGGCTAAAACGCGTACAACGTTTTCTGTTTTTAGTTGAAAACATTGTCGTGTAACGGCCCGTTAGTCAGCAATCCTAATTGCAGAGTATCTAAACCGCTTCCTCTGTTTTTTGTCTTGTTTTCCAGTACAAATGCTTAAACATTTCTAAATCAAAATGCATTTACTCGAGAAGCAAAATGCACAAGAGTTTATACACTCAAGACATGAGAAAAAAGGTTTTCTCTTTAAATTATTTCTTTTTTACTCCATTGAAAAATATTTTTTCTTGTTTTAAGTTTAAATTTCTTTAAAAAAAATCCAAAAGATTTTATGCCGTATCTTGATTTAAGAATGTTTGGATATTTGTACTGGAAAACAAGACACAAAATACTGAAAAAGAAAATCACTGTTGCAGTGCTAATGCGAGTGCTAATGTAGGTGCTCATGCGAGTGTTGACAAAAGCAGTGGCCGTATCTGAATCACAGATTCTCAAGTATGCATTCATGCATTTATGTTTAGAATTTAATCGATAACTATCAAATGTTTACATTAAAACACATTAAAAGGAGAGTGAATATTAATTCATGGCCAACTGTGGATTCTTACCTGTTGAAATGTGGCTTGAACGAGGTTGGCTGGAAACATGTTTCTGTTCAGGGACATAAATATATATTAAAGTTAGATGAGTACTTGAGTGTGTTTAAAGAATTGAATGCTTTTATTAAAATATTTCTAGAAAGCATAACATGCACACATAAAGTATCCTTCATAAAAACTGTCCTTGCAGCTCCTCAGTTTGTGAACGAAAACAAAAAACACAATAAATGAAGGCCAACTTCATTAAAAAAAATCTGCTGGTGACAGATTTTTAGAGATATAAAAATAATTTTACATCATCCATTATGGGGTGAATTCATGAAATCAAGAATTTATGTACATTTTGGAATTGTATATATAACATGATAATACTTAGATTCCATTTAGGGATAGTTCACTATAGTGTCTGTAATTAAATGAGCGTGATTAATTAATAACCCGTGATACTTTCATTCATCTTCAGAACACAAATGAAGATATTTTTAATCCAGAAGTGCCTTTCACCCTGTTATGACTTGATGAACCACTGAAACGATTTTGGAAACTTTATTTTAAGGTAAAAAAATCATACTTATTGTTGCTTTAAGTGGTAATTTTTTTGGGATATTATTTTTACGTGGGCAGGAATGAACAATGACATTGCAATCTGTCATTTTAATTAAATAAATGATTAAACCAAATAATCCTTTCAGCAGTCCATGAAGGTTCTGAATGTATTGAGAGTCTTTAAATGGCTTTGTCTACACAAACAACGGTTTACATTATGTTTCTAATAAAATGACCTTCAGCTGATGGAGTGTGTGTAACGATGGAGAGTCATTTATTTCATTTATGTGGATTCCCGAAGGCAGAAATAATGGCTGCATTTGCTGCATACAATAGTTGATTAAAGCTACCAACACTGGCATTAGTATAAATGACACAAATATTGAAAAGTTTGTGGCAAACAGTGGCACAAAGATGCATTTGGACACTTTAACAAAAAACAAAACCAAGGGCAGTTTATCATACATAAGCACACTTTTCAAGCAAAAACACACAAACCTAAAACAACAGATCTAGTGTTGAAGACAGTCAATATTGTGTGACTGTATTTGTTTATAGTTAATTTTATTATAATGCAATTATTTGCAAAGTGTCTTAAGTGTCCAAGTACTGTGCATTTATAAAAACACTCAAATCTACAATAGTTTCCCAATCCTTCTATACGTGTGTTTGTGACTCATTTAGACGCTCGAGTGCTCTCAAACAGGTCATGTGAGATTTTGACTGCTAACACAATCGGGTTGCTGGATATTGTATCCGTGATGGCAGTTCATTGTGAAATATTACTGACCAAGTTGTTGGTAATTCATAAATCAAATTGTTGATAATGAAAATGGCAATTTAGCAGCTAACAAAAACTAACAAGAACTTTGCTAATATTTCAATTAAGTTATCCATTTTGTTTAATGTTTCTTAATTGGTAACAAGATCATAATGCAATAATTGTGCAAATAGTCCCACTTTATATTAAGTGGCTTTAAGTCCTATGTACTTTCATTGAAACAAATAATTGGATACAATGGACCTATTGTGTACATACATGTTTTTACATTGTACTTATATTTTTAAAATACCAGCATGTAATTACAGCTGTAAATAATTTATGTAATTACATCTGTAATTACACAGCTGACCCATCCCTTACACTTTAACCTACCCATACCACCATACCTGTCCCTAACCTTACCCAGATCACACCTCAATAGCAGCAAAAAGTGTTTTACAACACAACATGAGCACAAGTACATTGTACTTATTTTTCAATGTAAGTACATACTTAAAGCCACTTAATATAAAGCGGGACCTATGTTTTTGTGCTAACGTTATTAAAGACCAGATAACTTTGAATTAACATTCTATTAATGTTACAAGATAACTTTGATAGAACCTTGGCTGAACGTTCTGAGAACATTCCGTATTAGCTGGGTTAATATCATGAGTCATGTTTCTTTTGTGTTCCATAGAACACGTGTCCCATGTTCCATGGAATGATGAAGGAGAAACATGAGGGCTTTCTCACCGTATGAGATCCAGGAGAGCATCAGCGGAGCTCATGATGGGTTTCCCGCTGTCCTCTGAATCTTCTTTCTGTGCCATTCCACCTGGATGGATGATCAACACCATGACGATTCCCACCACCACAGCGAGGAAAGTTGTCCACAGGTAGTAGGAGACCGTGATGAGGCCCAGCCGACTGGAACACTTTGCATCCAGCGCCGCCAGACCGGACATCAAACTGACGGAGAGCAGTCAGGTATGTAATAATGAATGACAGCTGCTTTATTGCTGATTTGACTAATCTTGCTACACAGGCACTGCTATTGAACTGAATTGAATCAACATTGAACTGACTCAAAGTGAATGAATAATGGCACTATTTCCATCTGTAGAGCTGCAGCTGAAATTAACTCATTGAAGAGGCTTTGTAGGTTTTTACCTAAACTCTTTGAGATTTAGTCTTCATTTGTACATTTATGAGCCAACCATAATGTACTAGAAAGAAAGACACTTTGACTGTCCACCATGGTTGCCTCTATCAGCCTGTAGGCTCAGTCGTCAAAATTGGTGTGAAAATTCCTACGCTATCTCACGACCAATTCGTACGAGTGATTCAAAAGTGGCTAACTCATACGACCTCACTCGTACGATTTGTCTAAACCCACGTGACGGTTATGTTTAGGGGCGGGGTCAGGGGTAGGTCATTCGTATGAATTCATACGAATTGGCTAATTCGTAAAATATGTACGATTTAGCAAAATCGTAGGAGTGAGGTCGTACGAATTGTTACGAATTAGCCACCTCGTAAAATTCGTACGAAATTCCCGTGAGATCGGGTTGGAAAATTCACAAAATGTGATGTCATGCGTATTCTCGTCTACTTGGGCTTAGATCCGTATGGCAGCCGTTACACTGTAAAAAAAATATTGTTGGTTTAACTTAAAAAGATGAAGTAACCTGGTTGCCTTAAAATTTTAAGTTGATGGAACTGGAAAAAGTGAGTTAATACAACGAAGGAGATTGATTTAATCATCAGAAACTCAAAATAATAAGTTATCTTAACTAAATAAATTATTTAAGTTGATTTGACAAAAGACAAAAAAAAAAGTTGTGATAACAATAATAATAATAATATTTTTTTTACAGATGGAAAGAAGCGAACAGCCTCCAGCACAAGCCAGACACCCACGGAAACTCCTTGTAAGTAAAAAATAAAAGCCTTATAGTGCAACCGAACTTTAGTTATATAGCGTAATTCACGTGTATGGTTGCAGCTGTAAACCTATGTGACGTTGGTTTATAGAAATAGTGAGTTACTGTTTATGTTTGTGTAACTTAAAGTTATTAGATATACACACTGATGTGTCTTTGTATTCTGTTTATTCTAGAAAAAAAAACACTTTCAATACCTTTTACAATCAAAAAATTGTGGATCGTGTCATTGAGTTTGAACATTCAAACATATCCCTGTCTCCCGTCACGCTTCTTTCCGGAGCCCCGTAGAGGATGAGCATTCACCTAACTATATTCAAACCTTACATTCCTCAACAGCCTAAGTTGGATTCTTGAATTGTCTTATGCAGCACATCTCATCTCGTCACATCTTGATGGTATTTTAGAGGCCACATTTTGACCTTTCAAGGCCTTTTAACAGGGTTTTTTTTTAGGGTGCCTATAAAAAGCACATCATTGTCATGTCCACCCGCACTCATCCCTCTGGGAATGGCTAAATCTCACTACACACGAGCAGTCAGGCATCCACACAAAAGCTGCGAGATTAGCGCCGGAGAAGGTGCCCTCTAAACAGCCTCTGTTGTGCAGATGAACAGCTGGCTCCATCAGCCTGAGATTACATATTAATGACCGCAGGGCATCGTGCAATGAGAGGTTCAAGCTAAAATATTGCTTTTTCACATTCACATAATTTCCTTTTCTGCATTGGATGGATTCAGATTTTATTTTTTATTTTTTAAAATCACTGTGTACAATAAGGTTATGATGCAGACACAGATGTAGGCGAACAAATGTAATTAATATTTAGGTTCCTCCTCCAAATATATTTTATTGTTTCAGAGACTTAAAGGTGGACTCTGCTTATTAATATGCGCAAAAGCACTCTTTTTGCATTTTGCAGAGGATTTTTTTCTCTCTCTTTCATAGCTCGGGAAACTTAAATTAGTTCTTCTCAGTTATGTTTCATCTAAGTATGAAGTTTATCTTGCAAATCTCTTACCAATGCTTAAAATAGTCCTTAGAGTGCGTTAGTGCTCGTCCACTTTTTCAGCAGCGCTGGTTCCAGAAGTTTTTTTTCCCCATTAATTTCTCTTGCAAGGATTTTCAAAGAGTTCATTTAAGCGGTAAAAGCCATGAACCAAGCCAGCCGGGAACAAGGTGAATCATTCCCAACACTACACATTTTTTATTTGAAGCAAAAAAGTTTTTTTTTAATTGGACAAAAATAAAAAAAAAAGATTTAAGGTATTTAATGGCTTTAGTTAGGTAAAGAACTACAATCCCATAAAGCATTGCAAACAGCATAATAAAATTAAAACGGAGAAATTTAAACATGTGATTATTGTAACAAACTTAAAATATGCTGTTTTATACAACGTATGCATGTGCATATACATATTTTGAGAGGCTGACTTTCGTGCGGAGCTTTGGTGTGGTTTGATTGTGGTGACTCTGATTGGAGGGATTTTCTGTACAGCATCATGGGTAATGTAGTTTTTCACTTCGAGTTCTGCAGTTAAACACGATTATTTTAAAACAAGGCTGACGGAAGCAAATAGGCGAGAGCGGGGCACAAAGTAACACTTTTTGACTTTGTCAATTTGTGTAACTCTACTTTAGAGTGAAATGAAATGTGACAACATGCCCCATAGGTGGGGTACATTGTAACATCACCATATAACAGCTTAAAATGCAATCTGATCTAATAAAAAAATATATATATATATATATAAGTCGAACCAATATATTTTCTCAATAAAATACAATTATTAACTTTTTCATATAAAATAATGGCATTTTTTAAATAATTAAAAATAAACTAATTTTTGAGTTTCACATCGAAAAACACAGCTATACAGCATGGTTCAAAACAAAATAATACTTAATAATTTCTGAACATTGACTCTCAGTCTTTATTAACATGTTTCTCATGTTTTCTCAATAGAATTCATAAAAGTATAGAATATAATAGCATATTTCTAATTGGGGCACATTGTGTTACAACATGCCCCACCTGCACAACTTAGTGTCTTCTGATAGTTAGCGAAGCATTAACTACATCAACTGTTAAACAGCAAATTGAAGATTAAAATAATACCAGATTTGTCAAATTTTAAATAAACACAGAAAATAGAAATGAAAAATGAACTTAAGTAAGAAATGTACTTTTGCTATGGTTAAATAAAAGGTTTGTAAGTTATTGTTAAAAATCTCCCCATGAAGAAAACTTGTGTTTTTACTTCCAGAACGTTACTGTTGCACTCCATAGTCATACAGTAATATGAAAATGTATGAATGAATGTGTTTACATTTAATCTCAGAAGAAATATTGAGATCTGCACGCTTGATGCCAATCTGAGGCTGAGCGAATGTTGAGATCTTTAAAACTGCACATGCCATGATATAACTGGAGTTTATCTCATTTGGCATGACCGTCATAGTGCATTATGGGTATTCTCTAGCTGTTGAGCGTAGATCGGTTGTATATTCGTTATTGTGGTGGATTAGGGGATTGATTGAGTGCACTTGATAACATCCACTGTGGTTTCGGACACCACTACAAATGATTGTCTCCTCAGTAGTGCCCTATTTCAGGGTGTAGGACGCAGGACACAGCCCTTAAACTTCTCATTCTGATGCTAACATGGCACAGCTGGTGTCGGGTCAGTTTAAATGGCCATGTCTGTATGCCTCTTGTTCAACAACGCTGTGACCCCTGGTGAGCATTGTGGGTAATCCGTATCCAGTCGCAGTGACGTTTCAATCTGGGCTTGCGTGCGGATGGATTTATTAAGGAAATGTCAAATCTATTTCTCTCTACTTTATCCTCTTCCGTTTACAGTGCGTTTTCACCCTCGCTGACCTTTCTCAGAGGAGAGGAAACAATCATCATTAGAAACTCATAACAGAAATATAAAGCATACGTCCAGTTTATTCTTACCATTGAAAAGAGCATCATAATCTCCATGCATGGATACACAAAATACTGTTGTGCAAAAAAAAAAAAAAAATGATTTGGGCACTTAAGTCACTATTCAAAATGTCTGAAAGTAATCGCATTAGATGATGACTAATGTCAAAATGAGTGACATTTATTTTAATGGAACATTGCACAAGACACTTGCTGGCCTTTAAATAAACAAAACAAGAGATGACTGCAATGCAATGACATTTGCAATGTGGAGAATGTCATGCATATTGCCGTTAACATTTCTCAACTAAACAATGCCTGAATTGAAGCTAAAAACTTGTGTGCACTTTTATAGTGTTGTATAAATTCCACTTTATATCTCGATCAAAAATAAGTAGGAAGAAGCATTGAGGTGCTAAATACACGAGAACATGGCCTTTAAATTCAATAATAGATATTCTGTACAAAATCAATGCAGTGTTTCTTCAAAGAAACAATTGTTCCGCCATTACTGTACATTATAGGAGGATAATAACATTATAGGATAATAGGATAATAATTAACAATGCCAGAAGTGAAGCTTGCATATAACAACGTTTGATGCATTGTGACATGACACTTTCAACCTCTACAAAAAAATACATATAAGCCAATAAAATTGCGTTGAGTTAAAATACAGTGCACACTGTAAAAATGAATGTGCTTTATCTAATCAAAAAAAAAATTGTGGCAACAGATTACAAGCAATATTCGAGGGCTTGGAGCCAGAAGGGCGTAAGTGGCTTTTAACAAACTTTACAGGAGAGACAAAACACAATTTTGACCACGCTACAATCACCTGTATTATTAACCTTAAACCACAAACATTGTAACCACAGGCATACTAGAATTTAAGTAAAAAATGTATGGCATATTAACACAATGAACATGATAAGTCAAATAAGTCAAATACGACTTTTTGTTGCTTTATTCAATACAGTTTGATCTCAGATATGTATTTTGGCACCATTGGATAGAGCTCATCGAGACCTTTATTTTGATATAAAGAACTCATATTCACCCAAAATGCCACTTATGCCCCTCTGGCTCCAAGC